GGAGACTTTGTACAAAAGTCGATTGCTTGGGTACCACTGTCCCATTCGTGTTTCAACCGTGAAGCAGCTGTGTTTGCATAACTGTGTTTCGGTTTGAAGGGTGGGATATGGCGTGAATTTACTGGGTACAGAGGAATAACACCTGAGTCCTCAGGAATGGCAACGCATGGGGGGTATCATGGGCGTAACAGTATACTCTATTATGTCCATGGTACTGCTCATGTCTATAGGCGACGGTTACCACTTTCCATCAGGTGGGTCGTCAGCTTGTTTGCCATTCTAAGTTGTATAAAAGAAAAAAAAAAAAAAAAAGATAAATAAAATTAAGTTTTGGTAGAGACTACAAAATTCAATTGTAGAAACTCTTAATAAAATACGACAAATAATAGCTTTTGGTGACGAAAAAAGCTGTTAATGGACTTCGTGTTAAATTAAGTGGACTCTCTAAACTAGAAGCAATTAGTGTCACAAGGAGGCGAATCCAAAGAGAAAAATGTAACGGAATAGCCAACGCTTTTATTGTCGAGAGATGGAAATAATGAGCAAGGACACGCAGAGGGATTTTTATACCACGCTACCGAGTTTATTTTAGATACCTACGTAAAGTAACTATTTGAAACTAGAAGGCATGTTTGGTAATAAAGCAAAAATGCGAGAGGCAATATGTATTTCAAAAGGTACATATTTTATTTAATTAATAATTATAAATAAATACTAAATACAACTAAACATAATACACTACATGATCTAGTACTAAATAAAGCAGAGCTTTCAGGTACTCAGGATGATACATAGAAAATAAGCAAGCCATTACAATTAGAGATAGCAAATGTGAGAATGCAAATGTTGCTATTGTGCGGAAGTTTAACCCGCGGCCATTGCAAAGTGAGCCAGTGTGTTAAACTGCTACACCAAAATCACCAAGATCATTGTCATGTCATAATTCTTTACTCATATAAACAAATAAATTTATTTATTTTATACTTTGTTGTACACACTAATAATTATAGAAAAATGACAGTGGAAAACAAATGTACAAAAGCGAGCTTAACTCTGCAAGAATTGTTTTCCAGTAAACCCAAAGAGGAAAGGAGCACTAATCATACTTATCATGGCGATTATCAGAGCTACTGACATAATATTATTAGTATTTTATTGTATATGTCATAGCGATCTTATTTTCATTCATGGTTATTGATCTTATTTCATCGAACTACAACACTGAAAGCTGTTGGACGGTCTCGGTTTAAAACAACGTGAATTATAACAGTTTTGCAATCCACTACTTTGTCATTAAATCATCTGCTTTACTAGTAAAAACCTAAACAATTCGGTCCTTCGAGCCGGATAGCCTGAAATAAAACACAAAGCTCATACCAAACCATTGTCATAAAAATTAAGACTATAAACTGTTTTATGTTTTTTTAAACATAAGATGAGGCATCTGTCTGCCTTTCTGTAACCTTTGATGACACTTATAGCACTTTTTTGTTAGAATAGAACATTGGTAACAACAATCAAAAGTCACATACTTCTAAAATAAAATTAGCAAACGAATCGTCGTAAATCTTAGTAAAGCTAAAAGACACATTACGGAAAATTGCGTCGTCGCGTGACAGAATTCATCAAGCGACACGCCGCAGCGTTATTTCAATAATAGATAATTTTTAAATACTAGGTATGTATCGTCAAGGATGGTCTTAGTTTGTATATCTTAGCTGCGCATAATTTTTAGTGGCACTTAAAAAAAGGTTATCATTTCCTGACGAATTCATCATGATGAACGAACTGAATATATATGGAAAATAATGATGCGAATCAGGGAGTTCGCGTGCTCAATAGCAGAATGGAAAAGAATAAATGTTTATTGAAAGCTGTACATTATAATGATTCGTAGGATAGCCAACAGATAACTTGACTTCATCTAATAGCACATACAAGGCTGTCATTCCATTATCTAACCACCTGTTCTGTCATTATTCTTATTATTTCATCATCCCCCAGCACCCTGCCATTAATAAATCATTTGCATTGACGGGTGCGGGCAAACACAGTATAGGACGACCTCCCACTAGATGGAGCGACGACCTCAAATGCATTGCAGGGAGTCAGTAGACGCAGGTAGCACAAGACCATTCCTTATGGCAGTCTATGTGGAAGACCAATGTTTAGCAGTGAACAGATAATGGCTGAAATAATGATGGTGATGATTGACAGATGCATTATGTCATTTTTATGAAAAAAGAAATACATAGCATATACCTAACTTTGAATGCAAGGAGAGGGATTATTGGTAATCAAGTCAAATTGCCCATTGCTAACAATATACTTTATCAGGTCTACATCTGTGTGGTTCCCCCTGGAAACCATCGTTAATTTTTGATGAATTTATCACTGACAATTAACATACTTTGATTCTAACCTAACATTCCTCATCAATGCCCCGCCAGCATATACAGCGAAAAGGTAAAAAAAATCAGATCAGTTTGCTCATCATGATGAATTAATGGTTTCCACGTAGAGGTCGACCCGATAGAGTACATTGTTAACAATGGGGCCATTAGATTTTAATATTAACAATCGTTTTCTTCACCTGTTCCAAATACTACCTACTTTGATAGTAATATCGGCTGAGGCCTAAGCCTTAGCTTATATTGAACTACAGAACAAGTAATTACTAACTTATTATACAGTAATGTTAGATACAGCTAAAATTCTTTCCTTTTTTTAAAGATTTTTAGAGGTCATTATTGACCACAGAAAAAAATTAGACAATTTTTCTTTCTTTCAGTTTAAAAGCGATATATATTACATTATAAATATATTGTCGTTGCTTAGTCGCTGAAGATTTTTTAACTCTTATATGTTATTAATTTAGATTCAAGTACTAATATAACTTTGACACAGGCCAGCAAATTACGGCCTAGAATTATGAAATTATTAAAATAACCCAACGATCCTTCTATGTGAGATACCGTAACTATGCTTGCGCTATGCATAAAATATTTTTAATTAGGTACAAGGTATACATTGTAGGTACCTAGTAAAAGTTTTAACTAGTACTTAGGTGTAATTCATATGAATTTAAGTATTAATTACGTTATTTTACCACAAGCGCGTATGATAGAATAATAGATTTTTTTTTTAAAACAACCGGATATTATAAACTTAAGAACAAGGACTATGCTATTAAAGTAACCCTGCCAATACTATCAATTCGCTGGCAGAATAATGATTAGATACCTAACTATGATAGCTTAAAACCATGTTCTGTCCATTTCAATAATTTTATAAAGATTCATGATGATTTCTAAAACTGGGCAAGGGATCGTTAATTGTTAATTAATAAAGTTAACGTATCAAATAATGGATTAACTTTTAAGTTAACTTTAAAAATGATTAATGGACTTATTAACTCAGTTACCTTTCCACAAGTTCGTTAATCATTAATTAAATACCTACCTAGGTACTATTTTCTATTTTCCAATGATATTTTGACGTCTAAACAAACCCCGCTGGAGAGAGGGTTGTCAGTAATGCGATCTATCAGTTCCATTGCTAGAAATATCTTCTGCCAGGCCGACCTCTACGTGATCTCTCCTCACTGATGCCCTGCCAGCGTTATCGCAGTTAATGTTACTTTCGTAAAATTTTCTGAAATCTAACATTTTAATGTTTCTTCTTTAACCCTCTGACCGTGTATTTTTTTTTTCGTTTCATTTTTGTACATCGCTTTGACAACAAATAGTAGTACGAGTCATCTATTGGTAGTTTATAGATGAAGCCATCTAGCGACATTCTGAGACACAACATCAATCTACCAAAATAAAAATCGCGGGATAACAACGTCACTAAACATAAAAAATGCAAGCACGTTGTAATCGTGAGATGCATAAAATGAAACTAGTAAATACTGTACTCGGAAATCCGGATGCCCTGTCAGAGGGTTAAGAAAGCAGCACGGATGTCTGATAAGTATTAAATAGGTAATGTCTATTCTCTCAACTCAAGCACACATCTTGTTATAAAATAAAAAAGCAGAATAGCTCCGTCTCATTCTTAGCGACAAACAATACACAGACAGAATATTATAGGCATATAACCTATCATATATCATACATCTGTTTATGAACCCTATACCCGATACTACGAATAATATAATACTATCCTATACCACAGTCCTACACTAAGAATCTCAAGAAAGAGCTTTCTCAAAATTTTAATCGAAACTAAACTCTCGAAATATAAAATAACTGAAATCGGAACAAGTTTAAATTTAAAGGGAATAACCTACCTATCTGCTAACAATACAATTTTCTTTCAGCTTTTCAAAAAGGTTGACTGTAAAAGATTCCTTTATGGGATAAGTCCGCCATTATATATTAAATCATTTAAAGTATTAAAAATGAATTGTGTACAATATTTTTTTTACAATACTTTTAAACTACTAACAATATAATAGAAAACAAATTCTATATTATAAAAATCGATACCTAAGAATAAGGAACGAAAAAACTTGTTAATGTACCTAGTTTCACCCATAAACTTGGTAGAACGTACTTATATACTTCATAATCTAAGGTCTCGCCAATAAACAAAAACAAAACAGAAACAAAACGTCTGGGAAGATATCCTAATTTAAAATCAGGGTGAAAGTCACTAAAGAAAAAAACAAAACGTTGCAAATGTCAAAGAGTACTGACATTGACAACTCATGACGTACGCTGATTTCGTTTGGCAGACATCAGTCGCAATAGTATGTTTAAAACGTTTTTATTAATATTATTTAATTTGTGTTTAAAATATTAAAATTAAATGTGTAATGTCTTTATTCGACAACGCTGTTTTTAATACAACCCTTTACGAAGCTCTGTATCTTCAAATTGAGGATACTTTTGCTTTCGCGAAGGACTTTGTAAAGTCGTCATTGTCGTCTATTCCAGCTGAAAATATACCCAAATCTATTGTTGATTTGTCAGATTTATCATTCTACGGAGGCTTAGCTGAAGTATTCTTCTTCAATGAGTTCCAATTCCTTCTTCTGAAGACGTTTTTTCTCATATTACTGTTCACTTTGCTATTGATTTTCATATCGTGGCGAGTGTACGGTAAACGAATATCAGAGAGGTTTATGAAACCAGGTGAGTCATTTATGTTTAATACGACTACTTAGACCTTTCTGCAAAATTATTCTTTATTGTCTAACAAATATGATCCTAAATCCAATACCTACTACAATTTCTAGTTTTAGTAATTTCTAAGTACATGTGCAGTCATTTGTTAAAAGAATCATATAATAAGCTAACAATAAAGTCCAATGGATTGTAATCCCCAACTGTTAATCTGTTTTGTGTTATGTTTACTATTGTGTTTGCAATGTCCATAATCCCATGACAATCAGATGATTCTTATAAGATAAAAGAATCTAGTATAGAATGGTAGGTAAAGAATACATCCAAGTTGAGATTATAAGCAAAACTGATTTTTTTATCTTTTACCCTCAGTACACCAAATATCAACTGTCATTAGACATCTCTAATAAATACATAACAGTAGGCATTGAGATAAGTATAATCAAATTAGACAGCTATATCAGATGTATGTGATGAGTAGCTGAGTCATTTCCAATAAGAAATTGTGATGTTTTCCCTGTAAATCATTTTGTTTGAAACAGTGGTGTATAGTCAAGAATAATAAGGTAGTAATATTATTGTAACTTCAATTTCAATACATAATAAATGTAGAATCTATCCAATAAAACTATTTCTTAAGTTTCTATCTCTGTTAAGAGAAACACTGTTCATAATATATGTTCTTTATATATAATACATTATTTATAGCATATATAAATATGTCGTATTATTATATCAGTAATTACAAAGATTTTTATATAGAAAACAAGTTTCTGAATGTTTTCTTTTTGTAACACAATAATAATAAATGTTTAATTTATTTTTTACTTTAAATATATTGATTATATGTTTTTTTCTTTTATTAATTGCAGCAACATCAGCAACAATAGAACAACTGAAAGAAAGTGTTTCCAAACTGAAACTGCCTAAAGAGCATACACCCAGGATATAATACAATAATGGCAGATAAAATAAAAAGGTTTTTTCAAAAGAAAAAAGTTGATGCAAAATTCAAACTAGCTGGACCTGGACATAAACTGAGTGAATCAACAATAAGCAGTCAGACTTCAGACTCATCTAGGAAGGATGTCCCAGTTAAACGTTCAGGGTTGTCAGAGGAAAGTAAAGTGGCAGCAGAGGCGGCTTTGGCCAGACTACAACAAAAGAGGGACAATCCTGCATTCAATACTTCACTAGCTGCCATACAGGTAATACACAAAGCAAATGTGGATGAATTTAGGTACCAAAACCTAGACTAACCTATTATAATTGGAGGGAAAGTGATTGTTAGTAATGGAGACTGAGAATCCCATTGCTAGCAATATACCCAACTAGGTCAACCTCCTCACGGTTCTCCCTGGAAACTATCATGGTTAATTCCTGATGAATTCATCATGATGGGCTAACTGGCCTGTTTTCATTCTCATTTACCACTCTTCACTGGTGATCCGCCAGCATATCCCGTTAGCGCAGATGGATTACCATACCATTTTCACCTATCAAAAAAAAATCTATTATGATCAGGTGGGAGATGAAAGTGGTTGTTAGTGATAGGGATCAAACAGCCTCATGGCTAACAATACATGTTATCAGGTTGACCTCTATGCATTTTCCCCTGGAAGCTTTCTTGATTCATTCTTTATGAATTCATCACTGGGTAAATTGACCTGTTTCATCCTCACCTATCATCTCTCACTGGTGCCCACCAGTGTATACCATTAGCGCAAGCAGGGTTACCACTCCATTAAAAACCTATTATAATCTGATAAATCATATTCATTCTAAAGTAGTAGTTAATCTCTGGAACTGTACATCAGATGAGTTACAAAAGTGCAGGAAACAAGATATGTATGTAAGAATGAATCCAATCCAAGTCCCTTGCGAGGTAAGCAGAGAGACCCAATAATTTGCACTCTGTCCTCTCTGCCTATCCTGCAAATGATATGGCATGAAGATATATAAATAAATCTCACAATCTGAGCTAGTTACACAGAAAACAACCTACTTTTATGGATATCTCAAGTAATTTGGTTGTTTTCTAAATAACTGCCTTGAATATAGTACTTTGCAGATGGTTGCCATTTTATGGTTTTGTACCGAAATAATAGAAAGCAATCCTTATAGTACAGTTTTGTCCATCTGTCACTGTATTATATTTCAGCAATTAAAACTATGTATGGAATGTAAAAATTCTATGTTTTCATAAGTTCTACTCACACTTGACTGTTTTTATATATAAATTAAAATTTCTTACTCATATTTGAAATTGTTGGATTGACTAAACTAATAAGATAACTATTGGTATTCTAGACTAGTGATTGGCTCTGTTTTTACATGGAATTTTTTTATGTTACTCTTCTATAAGTGAACAAATTTTAAAAATTGGTTAAGTATTTTTTGAGTTTATCTATTACAAACAAAAACTAGAAACTTTCTTTTTGTTTGGATTCTAAATTACTTTGTTTAGATTCTAAATTATTGCATAATAGTAACATAAAAATAATATACGTTATAAAAAATACATATATAAAAATGTTTGTTTTTATGTTCAGTGTTTATCAAATTTTTTTATAATTTGTTTAGGCACAAGTGAAAAAAGAATTGGAGAATGAGAAAGCATCTGCTTCTGCCGTGAAGGCACCAGCGAGTTCAGATACAGAGAAGAAAGAAACAGAAGTAGACTTGCCTATGAATTTTGCTGCTTCTGGAGTATTCTTTAAGTAAGTCTCTTATATACTAGTATTTATTTGCTTTTTTAATTGTTGATTTATTTTCTTTTAAAAATCTCTTACTTTGTTGCTTTAGTAATTATTTGTGTGGCTTTACTCATGTTTTACATTATGTTTTATTATTGTACAATAGCGTTGTGTTACTTATATTGATGAATTTTTTTAAAATTCAACTAATCTTATTTCATAGCATAGAAGTACGATCAAAGATTCACTTGTAAAGCCACAATTCATAGTGTTTTAATAGGTTTAAATATTTTTATTGGATTACACAATTATATTAACAAAAGTATAATACTTATAAGATTTTAATCCTCAAAACAAACCATAATCTTGACAGAGTTTATGTCTATAGTCAACAGTTAGCACATTCCATCAGGTAGATTATCAGCTTGTTTATCATTCCAAATAACATAAAAAAAACTCAGGAATTAACCATTCATATTAGCTTCTAATTTCGTACATCAATTCATTACTTTGTCTAATTCATTTTACTGGAAATTATAAACATAGTGACATGAACATGGGCTTAACAGAGTTACTGTGTCGTCTATGATACCCTTCATATGTTGCTATTCCTGTGGACTAAGATGTTAATGCCTCCGTACCCTGTAATTTCAATCCCATCATTCAAACTGAAACACATGCAAACTGCTTCACAATAGAAACAAGTTGTCTCGTGAATCATCATCTGTGGATGATAATGTTAATTCAGAGAATATACCCTTGTTTATATTGTTTCAGATGTCCACTAATTAGTAATGATATTTTACCACGGGATGAATGGAAGATAAATATCAAAACATTCCTATATGAACAGTTAGAGGAGGAGAGAGGATTGACAGCCTGTCTAATTATACAGTCTTGCAACAATAATAGAGATAAGGTATAAATTCTCTAACTTTAAAATTTTAAAGTCTTGTAATTCGGCATGAGTAGGGGGAAGGGTCCGAGGGAGTTATGGTCCAAGGGGACCCCAAGGTCAAATAGAAGTGCCATAGTATTAATAGAGAATGGCATCAAATTGATTTTGAAGTGAACAATGGATCCTTTCGATCCAATATCCTTTCACTTTCTTCATCAACATTTTACTCACGGGTGTCTTTGTTCTTATAAATGTTCCACGTTATGTAAATGCTTATATACAAGCTTTTTTTTTTTAAATAAGAAGTTGATGAGTGTACTAATGAAATTCGAGAGTACTGTAATATCAGATACTTCAATTAAAAGAAATAACGCCTTTTAAAATGTTTGTGGGCACTTTTTTAGATTCTTTTTGCAACCTTATAATAATTTGGAAAATTCTAAATAAATATATATAATATAGTTAGTTAGGGGCTTCTATGTCGCTTTGGTTTTATTCAAATATCATAGTTTCATAGAAAAATCGTTTTAAAATTTGTGGTTGCAACCCCCATTTTTAAAAAAACGGATAAAGTTAGAGGTTTGATAATTGCTCAAAAGTTATTTCTAAATACTAGCAATATATTAAAGGCACTTGTGTCAACAACAACTAATGTCAGATGCCAGTGCAGATTTCATAGGAAAACCCAACGAGACCCTATTATGTATTATATAATAACTTTATATTTTTAAATTATTTTAGATTGATACCTGCGTAGAAACCCTTTGCAAATATTTGGAAAACATAGTCACGTATCCAGAGGAAGAGAAGTATCAGAAAATTAGAATGTCTAATAGGTAAGTAATATTAGGGAAGTAAATTTAATAGCCTTTAAGAGAAATAGTGATTTTTGAAGTTTCATTATAAATAAATACTCCTGTATTACATAATGCCATCTACTTCCGTATTTAGCTTAACTATTACCATGCGTATTAGACAACCGACAAATATACCTTTTTTTGAGAGGAAAAGGATTGTTAGTAATAGGGTCTAACTGCTTTCTTGTAAGAACTATACCCTATTAAGTCGAACTTCACACAGTTCCTCCTCTCACCGTACATCCCTCACTGGTGCCCCGCCAGCATATATCGATAGAGCAGGCGGGATCATTATTTCATTTTCACCCATTAAAAAAAATTTTTTAATATATACACATATATAAAAGGCCGGCAGCACATCTGCATTGCCGTTGGTGTTGTGTGTGATCATGGACGGCGGTAGTCACTTACTATCAGGTGAGCTGCGTGCTCGTTTGCCCCGTTTTGTAAAAAAAAATACATAGATCTATATACACAGACATCACCATAAATATTGTTTGTAATGCTATAAAGGTGTTAATTTTAAAAATATCACAACATTGAGTCTTGCATAATCTATTGCCACTAAAACTGAAAGTGTATGCAAAATTCATCAAAATCTGTTATGAGGAACTACTTCTAATTCAGCTTGCATTTTTTTTATTTGCCCTAAACAAACATGCGTTGCAAGTTAAAAACAAATCTGTGTAAACAACTTTTTTTATAGCATAACTTGCTTAAAAAAATAATAAGAATACTTCATTTCTAGAGCATTCTGCGAACGCGTTCAGCCAATAGAGGGATCGTTAGACTTACTCCTAGCAGCTGGGTTTACACAGCAAAAAGTGACCAACGCAGATGGTATAGAAGAAGATTACCTAATATTCAGTAAAGATAATATACCTTCGGTGGAAATGTTAACGGTGAGTTTTATGTCCAATCTTCGAGAATGTTCATTCTATAAATAAAAAAAATTAAAGGTTTTATGATTTGATAAGTGTTGCGTTTGTGATACTCGTAATGGCATACAAGTTGATGGCCCACCTGATGGAAAGTGGTTACCATCTCCTATAGACATGAGCAGTATCATGGACATAACAGAGGATACTGTGTCGCCTAAGGTATTATAACCTTTACATCTGTACCCTGTAATTTCATTGCCATTCAAACCCAATTACAGCTTATTTATTTAGCCATTATTGATTTATTTTTATATATTAATTATTTATTTATTTAATATTTATTTTATTATCTTGTTTAAGACGCTTGTTTCACTATTATAATTTAGTGCTAAACTATTGCGAGATCATTCGTATTGTGATATCCTTTCTTTAATATTTCCAGACACTAATCGACGCGCTCCGGACAGCGGAACCTATCCAGTTAGAATTAGATAGAAACCTACAAGTGTTATTGCCGTCGCAAGCGGCCACAAAGGTGCAGCTACCTGCGTCATTTTATGCACTTACACCTGAAGAATTAAAGAGAGAACAGCAACTAAGGTTGGTAATGTTTCTGAATATAACAAGCAAGTTGTCAGCCCACCTGTAAACGTCATCTGTAGACATGAACAGCACTTTCAATAGCAGAATAATAATCAAAGAACATAAAAAAATATTTATTTATTCCTTTGAATTTTTTTGCGGCCATTTTGGGAGATTCCGTCGCCAGTTATGAACCTATTTTGATTTTTTTTTGCAATCAATAGAGTTATATTTCGTGTCATATTAAATGTTGTTATGATTGGAGAGAGGAGAGAGAAAAACTCCAGCCGTTTTGTCTCTGCGGAGAAAAACAATACTAGTTGCGAAGCGAAGTCTATTTGTAAACACGATTCCACGTTTTCAATAAAAGAAATATTTATAAAGTGTCTTCGAAAAATGTAGTTCTATATGTGTGTTTGTTTGTAGAGTGAAATATTGTTATTGAATTTTAAATAAATTCTCATTGTACTAATTTCTCGATGTTGGAACCGTTACCTAATTGAATAGCACATTTTCAGAACTGAAGCGATAGAAAGAAGCCAGATGCTACGCACCAAGGCTATGAGAGAGAAGGACGAACTACGAGAAATGAGGAAGTACAAATTCGCAATAATTAGAACACGTTTCCCAGATGGCATTTTGTTACAAGTAAGTCTGTTAATGATTATGTTTGTTGAAACATTATAAGAAAATATACTATAGTGACTCTATCACGAGATATCTTTGATATAAACTTTTTTTTTTTTCTCCAATAAAGTCTTTATTAAAAATGCCGAAGCTTCCAGAAAAATTCTAAACCAGAAATTATACTGCGTGGATTAAAAATATAACTTCAAAATTTCCTCTTGACACAACCATAAAAACCATAGCATGGTTATATATCATATTATAAACCAATTGCCACTTTTATTGAGTGATGCATCAAAGAATCAACTGATTTTTGTTGTTTTTTTTTTTTTTATTATATTTCACATTTGGATAATTGTATTCTCTCTTTTCATTTAAGAGTTTCCTCTTGTCGGTGTTAATGTTATTAAAACAAAATTATTTAACCATCACCTAAATAAGTGTTACTATAGTGTCCAGGAATATATACAAAATATAAAATAGTAACACATTATAAAAGACTGATTTTTCTGTATCAATAATTTTTCTGTACAATCGAAACTGTACATTTAAAAATTGACATAAACATTTACTTTATTACACATTAAAGAATTATTTTGTTATAACTTTTGTAATGACTGTTGCACGTCAGCAATGACAAAATGTGGGAAACCAACTATTGTAATATTACCATATCACCTTATTGTACCACATTTTTAGCAATCAATTCATTCATTCATTCAGTATCGCTAAAGAGCATAAAAACTTGACGACAGAATAACACCTCAGCATTCCAATAATATTATAAATGCGAAAGTTTGTAACGATGTTTGTTACTCTTTCACGGAAAAACTACTAAATGTATTTGGATAAAATTTGGTACATGGGTAGGTTATATCCTAAATTAGCTTATAGGACACTTTATATACTGTTTCACACGGGTGAAACTGCAAGATACAGCTAATGTTTAAAAAATTTTAATCGAACACTTTATTTTATTTTCAGGGGACATTCTCTGTATACGAACGCTACAATGAAATATACGAATTCGTCCAAGAAAACCTTGAACACAGCGGTCTGCCTTTCGTCCTGAATACACCAACTGGCCACAAACTGAGCATAGACGAGGATGCAAATAAAACCCTTATCGACCTACGATTAGTACCGGCCACAGTGCTCACATTCGCTTGGCACCACAGTGTAGTTGATGAAATCCAGAAAAGTCCTAGTAGTAACGTCTATTTGAAGCCAGAAATTATGGTGCTCGTGCAAGAAGTATAAAAGTCTACCTATATAATATACTCTTTGTTGAAGCTTACAATATAACACTATCTTATAATTTTGCACATATTAATTCTAATAATTGACTTTACTCACGTTTAAAATTCGGAAATGCTTGACTGCTTTTGGAACTGAATAGTTACTATGAGCGCGGTTCATAACTACGTCGCAAACGGCACTACACGACCAGCTAATAATAGTAGCGTCTGTGTAAATACGTGAAATTAATGAACACACAGTGTTTTTTGAGTTTCCGACAATTGTTTCAACTTTATCTGGAAATTTTCATGATGCGTTTAGCGCCTTGCGTCACTGTGAATTCATTAATCTCCTTTATTTACATAGAAATTGAATAAAAATTAACATAAACTTTAAAAGCAATAATAGTAGTAACTGACTATATCCATCCAACTGATGTCAACTGGCATCTCCATATTTAAAACGTGGGCAAAGCGGTTATAAATAATTACGATATTTATTATACAACATATTAAAATTGCTTCAATTATTATAATACCTCTTAAACACAGTTTCATATTTTTTTTTAATGGGTGATAATGGTTTGGTAACGCCGTCTGCGCTATTGGTATACACTGGTGGGATACCAGTGAGGGATGACAGATGAAGATGAAAGTAGGTCAGTTAGCCCACCCTGACGAATTAAACTAGAATTAGTTACTATGGTTTCCAGGGGGAACCACGTGGAGGTCGACCTGACAGGGTATATTGCTAGTAATAGGGCTTATTTGACCCCATTACTAACAATCCCTTCCCCCCCCCCCCCCCCCAGTTTCGTATATTAGTGCAGATTCTAAAATAACAAAATTAATCCGAGCGACGGCGGTATGCTCGCCTCTTGCCACGTTACTATTTCAAAATGCTCGGCGAAATGTCTTGCCCACAATGACAACGGTCAATATAAATGCCTCTGAGTACCCGTTAAAGCAGTGTTTTTCAAACTTTTCCATGGCGCGATCTCTTAGTATATAAAAATATTTTGCGACCTACCCTACGCGGTTCGTAATCTGTATGTATTTTAATATTTTACAATTATCAATCTTTTTGTTTATTTTCATTGTTAGGTATTGGTTAAAAACAATAATATTACATTACAATTTTACATAATGATTATAATATTACATAATAAAGTACCTAAGACAGGCAACGATTTCAGTTTCGCAACCTTCCACGACCCCCTTGTAAATGCTTAGGGACCTCTCAAGGGGTCGCGACACAAACTTTGTAAACTCTGCCTTAGCGATTATAATTACTAGCACATTTAATTTATTCTGAAATATTACTATAGATTCTACGGCTGCTATAAATTCGTAGTTTTTGGCCAAATATTTCACTCATTTTTCAAAATGATGGCACGCGATAAGATTTTCTTGAAAGCCTGTCGTAATACGACAAAGCAAGGCGATTAATGATAATTTTATTAAAAGAAAATCAGTATGGTGACTGTATAAAAGTATGAATTTAGAGGGTGTCCAGTGTAGAGAAACATTACGCAGATACTGTGTTGGGAATGGTACTATTTAAATACGTTATGTATATATTTGTAATATATATATATATATATATATATATATATATATATATATATATATATATATATATATATATGTGAATTTTTAACTTAATGGTCGCCTTGCTTGATTATGGCTCTGAATATAATGACATATTGGTTTCAATTGAGACAGAAAATTATTTGAGTAGTTTGTTATAAATGAACTTAATAAAATCACAGAAAACCCAATTGTAATGTTTTTAAAGATCAATTATTATTGTTGTTGTGTATTTCAAATCATTTTTAAATGTAAATAGACCTAACATTTAGAACTAGTTTTCATTCTCCGAAATTTACATGAATTACTTTTTATTTGTAAAAATTCCTACACAGAGGTTTAAAAACAACATGAATATTAAATAGATTTTAAAACATTGAGGTCGATTCTGTCCATTTCTCTTAATATATATTTTAATTTTACTGTTTCGCGAATATTACTAATTTAGGGACTATATTGAATCAATATTTCTAATATTTGGGACTTGAATCAAAAATTTATTTAAAAATTCATATTGGTCAATAGAATAAAGATTTTGCTGTAATAACGAATAGAAATTTTAATTTCAGAGATAGAATTAGAGATCCCAATGTCTTACAAAATCTACTAAATGAATTTACTTTTTTTTGGTTCCTAAAAAAGAAATAAAATTTTGAATTTTATTAAAGAGTATATTATCTTTTAAATTTGTATTGTTTTAATTTGACGATCTCGAATAACGAATGGTAAACATGATTTAGATGCCAACAATGCCGATGTTAATGTGATATAATACCACATTTAAACCCTTCTTTGTAAAAAATATATAAAAGACCAAGTTCACTTTAAGTTGATCGTGTCTGGATACCTTAATGTCCATTGGAGAAAAAAAAAACATAGCTGTCTAATTTATATTTTTAACCATTTTTCCTTTAATTTTGAACATAAATTATATCACCTTGATTTATTTTACCAATAAAAAAATCACGCAAAGAAGGGTTAAGATTTATGAATGATGTACAATTTTTATGTATGTAGATATAAAATCACTCTGTATACCCCGTCTCCATATATGACACATGATTGTGGTAACATGCAATTCCAGAGATTTTATGATGACTGGACTAAATTTTTAACTAAGAGTTGTCCTGATTGAACTTAAAAACGCGGATGGACAAAACATGGAATGTCCATCATTTACATAAGACATTATTTCGTGGTGATTAATACCCAGCCTTATAGCAAATTCAAGCAAGTCTAAAAGCACATATTTTTGTGTCTACAATAATTATAAATAAAGATTTCACATATTATAAATCATGAAATGAGACCGTTTGAACCGAGTTTGATTATAATTCTATTTAAAAACTTTTATTAATTGTCTTTTTAAGAATGATGAAAAGTAACAGATTAATTGTACAGACTAAGAAATGGTAGGGGAGAAGAGATTCTATCAAATACCAAGCCCTCTTTCATTAATTCATTCATAGAAACTAAAACATCTACAAACCTATTTTAACTATTAGAATCAAATAAATTACTATGAAATCAAGAAATTAACACAAAAAAGGACAAAAAACTTCAATAGCTAAAATAGCTTTGACATTTTTTATGAATATGATAAGGGGGCTATATTTAAATAATTACTTCATGTAAACAGATCATAATGAATCATTTTTTATATTTAGCCAAATTTGCTTAATCACTTCATCTCTACAACCTTAATATTAAGCTCCAGCCCCTCTAGACAAGTGGTAAGCGAATCTATCGATAGTCTCTTTAACTGCACACATGAAAAAGAAACCGGACTTTTGTCTCATTCTATTTCATGCATTATCATTTAAATCTATAGAAAAATCTGTTTGCCATTTAAATAAAAGGCATTAGCTACTCCTACCAGTTGTCCAACTACCTACTCCTACCAATGGTCATCTCATCGTTCAGGATAAGTTAAAGACGTTGGACCACTGGTTGTTTCTTACACTGTGCATTATAGTCTGTAATGTTAGTTGATCTTTGGTTGCACTAGTGTGTTAATTTTTTACCTATATTGTTAATGTTTTCTAATTTAAGCTACTTTTTGCGATTTATTTATTGTAAAACATACGCGTTTACTGGTCAAATGTATTAAAAACAAAGTTAATAATCTATTTGTTTTATTTCATAAGAGTATTACTTTAATAACCATGCAGTGTGGTCCCGGCATAGAATGGTCCATTCTTTTCCGATTTCCGTGGGTGTCTTAACCCTTAAAAGCCTGATTTTTTAAATCAAATTAAATTATATATAAGTGTACCCTTTACTGTGTTTACTAATGGGGAAAAATAGAAAAAATCATAACAATATATATATATATATTCTGAAAAAAAAAAAACAGTATTACTTTTGATACTTCAGGCATTACGGTAATCAAAATATTTAAATTATTTAACAATGAAACAATGCAAACCCCGGTACCAAATTTGAAACTTCAGACATTTAAGGGTTAAAAGGCGATTAAGTGAATTTAACGGTCAAGGGATGGGTAGCAGCGTCCCTTTTAAAACATCACCAAAGCCTGACTGCGGTTGACAACCCATCTGCCAAGCGTGGCAACTATTGATAAAACCCCTCTAATGGGGGAAAGGGATTGTTAGCAATGGCGTTTGACAGCCCCATTGCTAGCAATATACCCTATTAGGTCGACCTCCACGTGGTTCCCACTGGAAACCATCGTGGCTAATTCTAGTTGAGTTCGTCAGGATGGGCTAACTGACCTACTTTCATCCTCATCAGTCATCTATCACTGGTGTCCCGCCAGTGTATACCGATAACACAGGCGGGGTACCATACAATTATCACCCATTAAAAAACCCTTTAATGGGAGACACCTATGTTCAGCAGTGGACAGTTAACGACTGGTATGATGATGATACATTAACAAACTTCCGTGTTTATACGCAAATATAGTTCCAAACTAAGTAGAAGCTAATAGAGAAATACTTAGTACATTTTTTATAAGAATAAAAACCTCACAGTAAAAAATTAAATGGCAAAAATCGACTTTATTATTAGTCTCGAGATCGGAATATCGAGTCTCTGCTCTTGATCGAACTAAATTTAGAAAACAGTCTATTTCTATTGGAAGTATATATACAGCTATTTCACTTATAGTTGCGAAAACCTGCATTTTTATGCAGTCGGACTAATATGTTAATATTATACAAAATAAATTACAATACTAAAAAACAGTATTGATTATACCGTTGACCAAACGCGGACACAAGAGTTATTTTTCTTCAAAACATAGAAACCAGTTTCCAGTAATACAGTCCTTATGGCCATAAGTCTATTTTTGTAATTATCAAAATTAAACATGTATTATTAGTAACAGAGACCCACGTACTCACCAAGTAGTTCCTCACATAGTTTCTCTTGAAAACTATCGTGATTAACTCCTAGTCACGATAGGTATTGACTTCACTACATACTCCAGGGGAAAGAGATTGTTTGTAATGAAAATCCAGGGTAAAGGTATTGTTAGAAATAGACTCTCAGTCCCTCCACGCGGTTCTCTCTGAAATACATCATAGTTAATTCTTATCGAATTCCTCATAGTAGGTGAACTGCTTTGTCCTTACCTATAATCCAATCACTGGTGGCACACCAACGTATTTACGTAATTACGCCTATATTTCATTCAACCTTCATCCATAAAAAAATATAACAATAACCAGAATGATTTATTTGTTATTTCATTACAAAAAAATACATTTAAACCAATCCGATTCTTTTATAATTCAAATATAATGTTTATTTACGAAACTTAACAATAAGGATGCGCTTGCGCACTTATAATTATACCTATCACGCGACATCGCGGCCGATTTGTTCGGGTACTTTGTTCTCGATGGTGACCGACTTGGTACAGTCCTCCGTCTTGTAAATGCCTACCAATCGGTTGGACACCTCGAACATGTTGTACCGTAGTGATATTATAATGAACTGCGCGTTTCTTGTGCGCTCCTGTGAACAAAATTGCTGCATAACATCCTATGTGCTAGGTTACGACATAACCCACCGGGGTATTGGGAGAAAGGGATTATTAGTAATATGGACTATCAATACCATTGCTAGTAATATACCCTGACAAGTCGACGTCCACGCGGTTCTCTCTGGAAACCATCTTGGTTAGTTTTTGTGAAATTCGTCTCGTTGGGCTAACTAACCTGCTTTCATCGGAGGGAAAGGGATTGTTAGTAATGGAGTTTGACAGCCCCATTGCTAGCAATATGCCTTATTAGGTCGACCTCCACGTGGTTCCCCCTGGAAACCATCGTGAACAATTCTTGTTGAATTCGTCACGATGGGCTAACTGACCTACTTCATCTCCTCACCTATCATCCTTCACTGGTGCCCCGCCGGTGTATACCGATAGCGCGGGTGGGGTTACCATTCCATTATCATCCATTAAAAAAACCTGCTTTCATCAATACCAGTCATCTATCACCGGTGCCCCGCTAGCGTATGCCGGTAGCGCAGGCGAGGTTACCATTCCATTATCATTCATAAAAAAAAAACAGTCGCCCGTAGACAGGAATAACAGAATTATTGTATAGTTACTATTATACGACGGCGCAACGTGCTGATTTCTAAAAAAATATTTCTTCCATTCAACGTAACGCAGTGGAAACCGTAAATTATTACCTTAATATAATTGGCGACGATAGAAACATTTTTAAAGTCCAGCGCGGCGTCTATTTCGTCCATCACGTAGAGCGGCGTAGGCTTGTAGTAATGTAAAGCGAACACTAGCGCCAAGGACGACAGCGTCTTCTCACCACCAGATAAATTCGATATGTTCTTCCACGATTTGTTTGGTGGTCGAACACTGCAATGATTACATAATAAAAATCACTATTTTCTAGTAATGGGGATTAGCAATTCCATTTCTAGCAATATATAGGTTATATTAGGTTCACCTCCACGCGGTTCTTCTTGGAAACCATCGTGATGGATTTATTATTGAATTCGTCACGATGGGCCAACTGATCTTCTTCATCATCATCTATACACTGACGGGAACCAGTGAAGGTTGAACCTTCACTGGTTCCCGTCAGTGTATACCGATAGCCCAGACGAAATAAACATACCATTATAATCCATTAAAAAAATCTCCACACGAACACAAAAGAAAAAATAGAATTGACATCAAAAAATTCAAAGATAAAATGACACACCAGGATTGGTCCAAAAACCAACATATTTTTTTTTACATCTTATATGTTTTACTCAAAATAATCTTACCTGAATATGATTCCTTCAGTAAATGGATCCAACGAGTCTACCAGTTCAAGCTCGGCGTCTCCTCCCAAAGTGATCATTTGATACATTTCTTTCAATTTTGTTGTTATTGTATTAAAACCTGAAATAGATTGTTGAATAAGTACCACACAAAAATAAACATTAATTTAGGAGTAAACGTAAAAAAATATGACAAAATAATGTTAAAACATATTTCCAAAATTGACTAAACTGAAATCAAACCCAAAACTTTATTTACATAAAGCATTCTGTACTAAACTTAGTACAATTTCGTACCAGATAAGAAATCCGTAGTGCGTTTTTTCCTTAGCTGATCGTAGAGCGCTCGCATCTCGTTACGTTTTGTGGTTATCTCGTCCAATTCCGCCGCGCGCTTCAAATACAACTCCTCTTTTGTCCTGTAATCCTGGATATAACAATACAAATTTATTTGTTTATTTATTTTGGCATTCTATTTCCAAATTATGACAGAAACCCTTATACTAAATTGAGGAGGGGGGGGGAGTCTTTAATAATGGGGATTAACTTAGGGAAAGGAAGGGGTGACCTATTCTATGCCGGGACCACACGGCAAACTTCGCGGAACTATAAAATTAAAATAATAGGTTGAGTAATAAGTTTAAAGAGGGAGACTTTGTACAAAAGTCGATTGCTTGGGTACATCTGTCCCATTCGTGTTTCTACCGTGAAGCAGTTGTGTTTACATGGCTGTGTTTTGGGTTGAAGGGTGGGATATGGCGTGAATTTACTGGGTACAGAGGAATAACACCTGAGTCCTCAGGAATAGCAACGCATGGGGGGTATCATGGGCGAAACAGTATACTCTGTTATGTCCATGGCACTGCTCATGTCTATAGGCGACGGTTACCACTTTACATCAGGTGGGCCGTCAGCTTGTTCGCCATTCTAAGTTGTATAAAAAAAAAGTAATGTCGCCTTACAAGAGGACACATTATTATTCCAAGCTCACCTGTATAGCCTGAATGTTAGGTTTGGCGTCCCCGAGTCTAGCTTTCTGTGCGGCGAGCCTGTTCCTCAACTCTTCTACCGCGACTCCTTCCAGCTCCTCAGGCGTGTGCTGATCAAGGGGCGCCGGCCGCTCTATACCGGGAATGCCGTCCAAACCGGGATCTTCTAGTTTTAATGTTGTTAACTGCAAAATAATGATCATGATGATGATGATGAAATTTTTTTTCGGAAATGAACGTAGTTAATTTTTTTTTTCGGAAATGAATGTAGTCGAACTTTTTTTCGGAAATGAACGTAGTTGACTTTTTTTGTTGTCACTTGTTATCTATCCTTCACCTATCGTTAAGGTAGTGATGTGGTGATAAACGTATAACTATTAATTGAAATATTATTATAATATTATAGTGACGGGGGTCACAGGACTTTTTTATTTAACTTGTTGGCTTTTTGTGAGCGATAATGGTTGAAAACAATGCCTGAGATCATATTAATTGACTTGGAATAAAACTAAGAAAGAATAAAGTTTTATTTAAACTATTTTCTAATTCACTGTATATTTTATACAAAATCTGTTTATATAAAGCAATTTTTACATTTCCTTTTTATATTTCATTCACTACTTAAAAGCTGCGCTCCTGTCGGTAGAGCTCTTGCCACTCACTGCGATTTTGAGCAAGTCTCTCCTCTTCAGCTCTAAGTCAAAATACCTCCAAAATTAAAGACTTCTAACAAATTTTTAAGACGCTAAAGACGACTACGTTAGCTACGACGTATAGACTCTTACTCGTTAAAAATCTACTATATATATTGAACTGACAAACGTAAAAACGTACCAAGTAAAAAAAAAATAATAAAATCGTACCTCTTTCTCCCACATTGGCGTTTTACTTCTACAATCCTGTATAGATTTCTCCACTTTGGTGACAGCATTGTTGGCTTCCAGCCGTTCACCCTTTATCTTGTTCTCTTTGCCTTGAAGCTTCGATATCTCTTGTTTTAATTCCGCAAACTCGCCGGTACCTTCGTTTATTTGTTCTTCTAACTAAAATTTTATGTTGTATGCATGTATGAGAATAGTTGAAATGCATACACTTGCGTCGACTATTCATATTTACAGCAAAATTTTTCGTAATAATTTTAAACGTCAAATAAACTGATTTTATGTATAATTAACTAGTTGTCATCCATGGCATTGCACGTGTGATATCATGTTTCACTTTTAAGGTGAAATTTTCAATAATTCTTCCTTTGCAGATGTTTACGTTATAAACTAAACCTATGTTCCAAATTTTAGCTTTCTAGATAATTCTAGATTTAGATAGCCATTTTAGCTGTATGTTGATACTTAGTGAGAACAAATTATTCTCAATCGAATGCAAAAAGAAAGAGGTTCTCAATTTGTATTTTTTATGTTTATTAATTGTATTTTTTTATAATAGATAGCTTCCCTTACAGATTGATCCTATAGAAATTTTATCAAGATCGATTCAGTTATTTAGTTTTAAATCAAAACATCTAGTTTTGCCACAATTCAAGCCTATTTTTTTGGAACACAAATTTAATTATATAAGTACAAAATAGTTAAAACCTACTCAGTTACACCAAAGAAGGAACGCAGTCCAGATGAGAGGGACATAGGGATATGAATTCCTTCAGATTGAAGTTATCGGAATTTTGCAACTTATTAATAATTTACGATTCCGAAATGAAGAGTTACGTATTAAAATATTTATAAATCTATTTTATTTTTGTCTTTTTCTTTCAAGGAGAATTCTAAATATGTAACAAAGTAACTAAACAGGCTAACAATAAAAACAAGTTTGTTGGAGATTTTAATTTCCACGGATAAATGAGTAAAGTGTAATAATATAATTACCTCTTCCAATTCCTTCTGCAGTCTAGAACTTTCTAGAGTGAGCTCCTTCTTCTGATTACCTAAACTCTCTAACGTTTTCTCAGTTTCTTTTTGATCACCTTCCATTTGATTTATTTTGTCTTTGGATTTCTTTGCATTTCTAAAACAGAAGTTTTTGGAATAATTGCTTGAAAAGTTATTGGGATCGATTATTCTTAATAATACTTCAAAAATTAAGATTTTGAGAATTTGAAATACCACAGCAAAACCCCTTTCTTTGCTGTGGATGTCGTAAGAGGCGACAAAGGAAGATTATGGTGGAGGAATGGGCAGCAGCGTCTCTCTTAAAAATAACTAAAAGGTAAACTGCGGTTGCCAACCCACCTGCCAAGCATGGCAACTACTAGCAAACCTCCCCTTATGTATGAAGCTATGTTCAGCAGTGGACAGTAAACGGTTGATACAACAACGACAACAGCAAAAATTTACTCTAAAGACCAACATGAACTAGATTTCGAATAGATTTAAATCCGAATTCTTATAAATCCAATAATGATTGTTTTCATTGTCCAATTCCATCATAGATGGTCCATAAAACAATCATTTCATAAAACTGTTAAATTAAAATATTAAGTTAAAAATGTATTTAGAGAAATGTAAACCAATAATTTTGTAACTTATAAAGGGATGAATATTCACGAAAAAAACTTCGCGTTTATGCTGCTAAACGATAACGATAAAGGTAGCAAGCAAGCATATAGTCCGTCTGATGGTAAACAGTTACTGTAGCCTATGGATGCCAGCAATATAAGGGCCGTCATGTGCGCATTGCACATAAATAGATACACTTTATTGCTAACTCCAAAAGGTTACAGAGATGTACTTATGCCGTACCCAAGACAACTTAGCGTGTTCATAAAGTTACATACTTGTTAGTTAAAAAAAAAAAAAAAAACACTGCATATTGAAAGCAAAACCATATTGCATCAAAACAAACCTTATGCTAGTGTTTATAGCGACCTTCAACTTGGTAATCTCAGTCGACACCTTGTCTATCTTTTTAGTGAGCTCATCAACTGTTTTCTGCAAATCTTTCACTTTGCCGCCGGCCACAGCTGTGATTTGAGCATCTACGCCGTGAACTTCTTTTTCTACCTGTGATTTGTTATAGTACAATAATAATAATAATAAAGAAGAATAACAAAACTTACATTCTGCTCCATTGTGACATCTTTTAATTAAATTAGTTCTAGAAGGATCTAATTTATATATTTTTAATAGATGATAATGGAATGGTAACCTCGCTTATGGGGGAAAGGGATTGTTAATAATGGGGTCTAACTTCCCTATTGCTAGCAATTATGAAGACGCTTACCTCTCCTGCGTCGTATTTGGCCTTTTCAAGTTTCTCCTCTGCGGTCTTCAGCGCCGCTTCTAACTTCGCTTTCTGTTTCACGTCCACTTTACTCGACGCCGCTTTGTTTTCTTGTTGTTTTATTTGATTCTATAAAATATGTCACTTTATTTTCTTTCAATAAATATGACAAGACAACATCTCGACGAATCCTTAACTATAAGAATTCGTTAAAAAATAAATTTTAAAACAACCTCGAGAAGTGGTCATAAGTTGCAGTAATCGTTTACATAATGATCAAAATATTTGAAAGAATAGACACCAATATATTTCAACATGTTATTAATAAACATTATAAAATAATAGAGAAAAAAAAAACAATAAAACAATATTAAAAGACATTAGATTTTTATATTTCACATTTGTATGCTTGAACATGATATTGTTTATTGTTTTAAAATCAATACGAAAACATAATCAAGGTGGGATAATTAAATTTTAAACAATATTTTAAAACACAGAATGATCAATTTTCAGTACAGATAATACTAATAATAAGCAATATAAATAATTTTGTGGTACACATACCAATTTTCATTCAATTTGGTATGAAAATAAGATAAATATTAAGCAAAGACATAATTTGTTGAAATCAACCCTTTAGATCTTGAAATGGAATAAATAAAACCAAGAACAAGGTAACTTCTATTCATGAATGAAACCAAGTAATAAACAAAAATTTGTATATTACATACCTTCAAAAGAGGCACTTGTTCAGTCAAACTCTTCAATTCTATGCCTAGTTTGTTGAGTGTGGTTTTTCCCTCGCGCGCATTTTTTTGTACGGACACCATTGAATCTTCCAGATTCACTTGTTCACTGCGCAATTCTGACAACCTAATTTCGAGGGAACATATAAAATTGTTATACAATATTAGAGTTGTCAAAGTGGGTTATAAGAGTTCTATGTCTATTTAAATTACTCAATCGATTAATATGGTCGCCCTTTGTTTGTATTTATAATAAGTTTGCTATTTTTTTTTTTGATGGGTGAAAATGGTATGGTAACCCCGCCGACGCTAATGGGATACGCTGGCGGAGCACCAGTGAAGGGTGATAGATGAGAATGAAAACAGGCCAGTTAGCCCATCATGATGAATTCATCAGGAATTAACCATAATAGATTCCAGGGAGAACCGCGAGGAGGTGGACCTGACCTGGTTGGGTATATTGCTAGCAATAGGATTCTCAGTCTCTATTACTAACAATCCCTTTCCCCCCTCATGATTTTGCTATTGTAATTTTATGGAAAAAACATTAAAGAGTATCTATGTCGATTTTACCCTCTTTATACTGATTTTCCGTTTATATAATTAAGACTAACAAACAAACTTACAATATATTTTATTAAAAGTGATATACATTATTTATAGACATAAAAGGCACCATGACTATATCTAAATATATTGAAACACTATAGTACTTCAACCTAGATACTACCCCTCCTACTTTGCCATTCTAATACAATGTTATACCTTCATACTATGTATTTTCTTTGACATATCCCTACAAACTTTACTTCGGCGTGTGGTTTCAACATAGAATGGGCCACCCCTTCCTTTACCATGGCGTAAGAGGCGACTAAAAATATTTAATGGTCCTCTTAAAACATCTCTTAATCCTGACTACGGTTGCCTATCCGCCAGCTAAGCGTGGCAACTACTGGCAAAACCCCTCAAGTGGGAGGCCTATGTTCAGCAGTGGACAGTTATAGGCTGATATGATGACAATAACTAGATGTGGTAGTATCATAAGGATTTTACTCATACTTTATGCCAGCAGTTCTATTACTTAAACTTACTTTTTACATTTGTAGTATTAGTGAGATAGTGTTGTGATCGAGTTAAAATTTTAAATTGTTTTAAATTATTTTGTTTAAATCTTTATTACGTTTTTTTTTTCAAATAGTACACAAAATAATTACCTCTGATCGAGTGCTGCAAGTTTCTTCTCATTGACCTGCAAGACTCTGGGGTCCTGTTCACTGGTATCTTGCTGCACGGAGCTGGACATGCGACCGCGCATCGTCGTCTTCCCGCCACCGGACATAGTACCTTTTTTTTTAAAGTTATAATTAATTATTAGGCAAAGGGAAGACAAGACAGCAATGTCCCTCATAAAACATCATCAAAACCTAATTGCAGTTGCCAACTTGCTTGCCAAGCGTGGCAACTAGCGACACCAGATCCCATTACTAAAAATCCCTTTCCCCCCTGGCGAGTCGATTAGTATATTATAAAATTGCACTGCGTTGTGCATATAAACATACCGGCAATTTCGATGACGTCACCTTTCAAAGTGACCACCCTATATCTCGTGCGGCCGTATGCGATCCGTGACGCTTGCTCCAAGTCATTAGCGGCTAGCGTATCCCGCAATGCGAAGTAGAACGCCGGTAGCACGCGTTCGTCTTTGACTTTCACGAGGTCGAACAGACGCGGTACGTTTTCTGGGCTGTAATTAGGCATAGACGAAATCAACAACTGTACTAATCAAACAATGAGAAGATAATATGACAGAGGTGTGTGCATAGTGTTAGTCGATCATGCACGAGCTTTTTAATGACCATCTTATTTTAGAATACTCATAATATAAACAGAAATTTAAAAAAAATCCTGTGGGTTATTCTCATTCATTTATAAAACGAAAATACGAATTTAAAGTGTTTGTAAACAAGTCTATTTGAATAAAGATGATTTTAATTTAAAATTAATAGATAAGTCCGTAAAAACACGAAAAGAATTTGTCACACTTTGAAAAAAAAATTGTCTATGCATAAAATTTGAATGATGCCTTAGGTTCTTAAAACTAGAGTGGGACAAAGGTACACATGCACACGATACTTGTACAAATATTGTCTGCATGTGTGTTTTTGTCCTACACGTCTTTGTACCGCTATACTGCTATAGGTTACTGTGTATTAATACCTTAGTCCTCAGGCATGACAACGCACAATAGTATGAATATCACAACGTATTCAGTAACCTTAAAGCTACAAGTTTTGCGACTTTATTTCCTATTCCGAATAAAAAAAAAAAAGAACCAAAGAAAAATATGTAACTCACTATGTAACAGTCCTTTCGTAGTGCTGCCGTAAATGTTGCTGCTTGTCTAACGCTATGAACGTGGCGCGGCCGACGTTGTTCCGCTTTAGATGTTCGAGACAGGCTTGGGCTGCCTCAACATTCTCTACCACTATGTTGTCGAGTGCACCGCAGCATGTCGATATTGCTACGTCGTATTTCGCATCGATACCGCCTAGGTCGCCCTGTACACGTTTTTTGTTACACATTAGTCCACATGCCCCGGCATAGAATAGACCACCTCTACATTTCCCGTGAGTATCGTAAGAGGCGACTAAGGGAGAACGAGAGATTGGTAGCAACGTCTCTCTTAAAACATCTCCAAAGCCTAACTGCAGTTGCCAATCTGCCTGCCAAGTGTGGCAACTACTGAGCAAAACCCCCCAATGGGGAGGCTTATGTTCAGCAGTAGATGGTTAAAGGCTGAAATGATGATGATATCATCATATGACAGTGTCCACATATGACAGAGATTGTTCTACGGTATACTAGCTATACCTTGCGGCTTTGTTTTCTTTTTTATAAAGGACGAAAATGGAATGGAAACCCCACTTGCGATATCGATATAAAATCCAAAGGGACCCAATATATAGTTATCGGAATGGTACCGATATTACCCATGCCTATTCTAAAGATTTCTGGAATTTATATTACTATATATTATTAGTATTACTACTATAGTTATAATTACTAATATATATTCCTATATATAAATACATATATTACCAATCTACCAAATATCCCAGACAAACGTCCACTCTTTTTTTCTTTCATGAGAGAATCCAACACTCTTCCGCGGGACTTATTCGCGCTCATTGCTTGTTTGGACTCTTCCAGTTGCGCCCTGAAAACAAAAAACATTTTAGGAAAAATGTAAAAGTCTTATTTATAGGCAATCAAAAATACTAGGTACTAAAATACAGCATTTTTTATTTCAAGGCTGGTAACACTTAATAACTTAAAAAAAATATTAAGGGATGTGTGAGAGATAGTGTATATATATATATTGACCATGGCGCTGTTTATGCCTTCTATTACGTAGAGTTTATTTGACATTGCAAGCTGCTACCAGAAGCAGACTTTATACAAATCATTTGAACTATTTGACCACTAGTTTCAGCCAGTTGTTTTTAAAAGAAAGATATGGAATCATTATGGATGGGGCACATCATCTTAGTCTTCAAAAATGGTAAGAAAGCTAGCATAATAAGTTCATTAATGAAACATCTATAGGCAACAGTTACCACCTTCCATCAGGTGGACCATTGGCTCGTTTGCTGTTCTAAATTGCATAAAAAAATCACATTACCTCAAAGTCCTCACTTCTTTTGCAACAGTAGTCTCTTCAGTCTTCAGCGATTGTAACTGGGATTGGATTTCTTGTAGTTGTTTTTCATTCGAAGGCACTGTCGTTGATAGCTCTTGCTGTAAACTGTCGCAAAAAAAAAAACTATATTTTTACTCAACTACCAAGGAATGGAGGGTATTATAGTTTCAGAGATAAATACTGCGTTCGGATTTTGGCGCAACATTATTATAAATCGATGGTTTTTTTTTTTAATAAATGTGACTTAAACGTTCTTACAGGGCCGGATATAATACTATAAGTTATCAAAAATTTATGATATTTACTAGATTTAGGATGAGATTCTCTCAATGCGTCTGTATTTTTAGATATAGTTTTTGTGAAGCAAAATCTACCTGTTCTTTATTATTATTTAGGTATTCAAAGTCAGTAGTATATATACTACTTCCTTGTTCCTGTAGTCACTTCTAAAGATATTCTGGTGATAAAAAGGACCCCCTCCCCCCACTGCATTAGTTATAACCACAGTTACTTACGCTTTTTTCTCTTGTAAATCTTTTGTCGCTTTTTCATACGCTTCTTTCATTTTTTCTAATTTCTCAGCTTCCTTCTGTTCTGTGCTGAGATATATCTTGAGCTCGGAATCCGTTAATTTGTACTCTTTATTTGCCTCATCCACTATCTTCTTGAGATCCATAAGTTTCGCTTGCAATTTATCCTTAGTTCCTTGGAGACCTTGAGTTTTCGATCTATTATTGGAATAAAGAACAAAATTAAGACTATATTTATTTCACAGGAAGAAATTAGTGATACATTTATCAGAATATAAATAAAAATATTGAGATTGGTTTAAAAAAAATATAACTATTTTATCTTTAATCTTACTTATTCTACCTTTTTAGTTTTAAATTTTATTTATATTAAATTAAATGAAGAAATTCGCAACTATTTACTATAGGAATAGAGAGGCGATAATCACTTTGAAAAACACTGATTTAATTTATCGGTAAACACGCTTTCGTCGACCACCACATGAGTGAAAATAAGATGCTGGATATTGCTGACTCGTTCTATTTAAAACAGATAAGCTATCGATAGCGACGACTTTGATTGCCACTTAACAAATGGTACTAATCAATAACCTTACCTGACCCCAGCCATAACTGTCTGTAACTCTTCCTCTGCCTGTTTTTTACTCTCCTTATGCTTTACTAGTAACTTTTCACACTCATGAATCTCCCTGTTATTTTTATCTGGAATCTAAAATATTATAAAATAATTTCATGTCCAGTTATTGTTGTTGTTGTAAAATCTTTATTGTACATAATTCAATGGATACATTAAAAGATTTAATATATAATGGTGGACTTATCCCATAAAGGGATCTCTTACAGTCAACCTTTGAGAAGCTGAGAGAAAACTGTAATATGTACAAAGGTAAGAACCGTACAGCTAAACTAAATAACATCTAATAAACATTGAATATATAATACAATAAAAAAAATAACTGTATACACCTACATATAGTATTTCAGCATAGAAAAGATTACCTCTGTCATATTCCTATAACTAGTGTGTATAATACAGAATAAAGAAAGAAAGAAAGAAAGAAAGACAGAAAGAAAGAAAGAAAGAAAGAAAGAAAGAAAGACAGAAAGAAAGAAAATCTTTTCATAATCATTGTAAAAGGACTTGTATCACACGACTACCTTTTTTTAAATACAAACATACGTATTTAGCCCATCTGATGGTACACGATTACTATAGCTATTACGCTACCAGAGGGAGAAAAGTTGCTTGCTTGGGCACCTCTGTCCCATTCGTGTTTCTACCATGAAGCAGTTGTTTGCATGGCTGTGTTTCATTTTGAAGGCTGGGATATGGCAGTGAATTTACAGGGTACATAGGAATAACACCCACGCAAGAATGGCAACGCATGGGGGTATCATAGGTGAAACAATATCTCTGTAATATCCATGGTACTGCTCATGTTTATAGGCGACGGTCCACTTTACTTGTACCACTTTCCATCAGGTGAGCCGTCAGCTTGTTGGCCAGTCTAAGTTGCATAAAATAAAATCTATGAACGCCTGCAACACCAGAAATGCTACGTGAACAATGTTTAAAATTATTTTTTATCCATTTACAAAGAAAAAGTCAAATCTTTCCTCTTTACAGTATTAATTTAAAGAGTACAAAATATCTAACACCTTACCAATTCTAAATCAATAAGTTTCCCTTTCTCCTGTTCAAGCAATTGTTCTAGATTCTTCTTCTTCTTGTTGGATTGTGTCGTGTCCGCCACTACAGATACCATCTTCTTCTTGCAACCTTGTAATTTTTCTGCTACTTCTTCTTTTTCTTTTCGAAGTTTGTCGTATTTTCTAAAATCATCATTATATAAAATCAGTTAAACTATGAATATAAGGAAATTTATGGATTTTTTTACAAACAGGTTTACAAAAAAAGGAATTCTAAAATACAAACAAATATTTAAATATTTAAACAATTAAAATATTTTTAAATATTAAAATATTAATAAAAATTTATTTTATTAATATTTTAATATTTAAACAAGGTTGGTCTAATATTTTAGAGTAAGTATCTGAAACAACTTTGTATTATACAAATTAAATAATTTTAATTTTATTTAGAAACAAAAATCTTAATTACTTACTGGGTACCATTTTTAAGAATAGCAGTTTTTTCTTGCAGTTCCTCTTTAAGTTTATTTAATTTCTCATCAATTTGGGACAACTTCTCCTTTGATTCCTCCATTTCTTTTTCTTTGGCCTCTATTATTTTGTTAGTTTCGTGTCTAAAAAGAAAAATTTTTAAGACGACTAGAACGTTAATATATCTAGACTTATTTTTAATATGGTCGTTATTGTTGAATATAAATAATATCAATCAAATCATTATTGTACTTGAGCCTAACCTTCAATTATGGTCACGCTGTAATAAATCATGTGAAAGGCGCGCCAGTATGCGTAAAAAGTATTCAGCTTTCTAGCATACTACCTAAATGTAAAAATGAATTGTAAATTATTAATAAATTAACTAAATGAATAAATTAATTAAATGAATAAATAAATGTTATATAAATTTTGAACTATTATTTGGAAATTCCGAATAATTACATTTAAACTACCCCTAGAATGGTCCTCCGAGCCGGATGAGAAGCGATAGCCGCTTCTTACGAAGACCTAAATGAACGCATTACGCCCATAATGGTGATATTCACAATGATTAAGTATAAATAACATCATATTTACATACATATACTTCTGCAGCAACATATTCCTCGTACGGAGCGCTGTATTAGTCAAGTTCATTTGTTCGACGGCCTCCCTCATAGGCTGCTCCAATTTTTGCTTCTCCTGTTCCACTAAACGGACCCTGTTTAATTTCTCTTTGCGCATCTCTGTATACTCTTCTACTTTGACTGACAACTTTTCTATGGGTTCCTGGAAGGTTTTTTTTATAGTGGTAATGCCATCTGAGTTTTTAAAACCTTATTAAAGCTTATTTCCGTTATGCATTGCCACTGCACCTTATACTTAAGTCACGATACTATTCTTGTCTATGAGCGATGGTTACCGTTTATCATTACGTGGGTTGTAATAAACTTCAATGTTAAAAAGCGTACTTGGAATAAGATAAATTAAAAATAAGTATATCGATTGTTTATACAAAACAAATATAGTCATAAAGCGTGAAGGGTACCATGAGTGACACAGTGTATTCTGTAATGTCCTTATAATACTGTTCTTGTCTATAGGCGATGATTACCACTTTCCATCAGGTGTGTCGTCAGCTTGATTACCATTCTAAGTTGCATAAAAAAAGCAATAGATCTATACCTTGTATCTGGATGTACCTATGATATCTTCCAAATACTCCAGCATACCAGATTCGTGTTCCGTCTGAGCTTTCGGCTTCATCATGGCTATCTGTTCCACTTCACCCTAAACATAAATAAAGAATTACAAAAGAACATTTAAAAACAAAACCACATTTGAAATGTCGTATATGAGTAATTATAATTATTTTAAATTAAGTAAATAACTATATTTGAAAAAAGAAAGATAAATCTGGGTTTAAAATTATTAAATTAAATTGTACTAACCTGTAAAATGAGAAATCTATTATGATCTAAATCGATGCCATGTGATCGCAGCATCTTGGCGACTTCCTTGAACTGCACCCTTCGACCGTTGAGGTTGTAATACGAAGAATTATCCTTAAACGCAGTACGGGACACCACAATCTCACTATTTGGTACTACTGTAAATTCTTCGCCTTCCTGTAACAATGATATAACCATTCAAAACTGCTTTGAAATTAGTTTCCCTACTATTTTATAAAATAAAAATGGAATGAGAACGCCAATCTCCACGCCTCCTTTTTGCACCAGAAATAAAGACGAGCCAAGAGCATATCAATAGTGTTCTATCACTATAGACAAAACTCGGAAACAAACTATACCAAGACACCTGGCCAGAGTAGTTATAATAGGCTGGAAGTTTGCTCTTATGGACGAGTTGGTGTATTTATTGGTGTTATCCCGGCATAGAATGGGCCAATCCTTCCTTTCCCGTGGATGTCGTAACAGACGACTAAGAGAACTAAGGGATGGGAAGCAGCGTCCCTCTTAAAACATTGCCAAATTCTATACGGACGATATATATGGACGATTATAGGTAGGTAATATAGGTATATTGTATAGGTACTATTTAAATCAGGTTTTCAAATTAATAGAATTATCTAGATCTCATTTAATATTTCAATTATATTTTCAATATGAAAATGATTTGTAACGCTTCGATTATTATATTATAGTGATGTACTTGATTTGTAGTAAACATAGAATAGTAAAAAAGAACAAAAATTTTGAAATAATTATAACATCTTCCTTAAGGTATATACTCGTTAAAGAATTCAAAGACCGTCGGGAACATACATTACTTCCTCTTTTTTTTATAGAACTTAGAACTATACTAATGATTCGATCCGTCTTCGCACGAGTAGATAGAATTTTCGAAAATAATATATTGTCTATGTTACTCACTGATCACAACTACAATAGCTTTCTATAGGTGAAAGAATTTTTAAAATGAATTGAGTAGTTTTGGACTATACATACAAACACTCAAATTTTTCCTCTTTATAATATTAGAACAGACATAAATATAGAAAAATCATTAATCAAATAATTAATTTATATTGATATACTTTTATCACACTTCAAAAATTACAGTAAAACGTAAGTCACTAAAAATGAAGAAAATTTTTATAAAAAAGAAATATTATTTAATTTTCTTCTAGATTCTTTTTTGTTTTCTAGAGGCTTCATAACCGATCCTATACAATTATATCCTAGAAAACATCTATCTCGAACGCAACATTAATTATTTATACCTATATATCATATATTCGCCGTGTGGTGCCGGCATAGAATAGGCCACCTTCCATTCCCGTGGGTGTCTTAAGAAGCTACTAAGGGAGGGCGAAGGATAAGCAGCAACGTCCCTTTTAAAACATCTTCAAAGCCCGATTGCGGTTGCCAATCCGCCCGCTAAGCGTGGCAACTACTGGCTATACCCCCCAAGGGGTTATGTTCAGCAGTGGACGGTTAAAGGCTGATATGATCTCAATAATAAAGTATCGCGTTCGTGATTCAATGTTTATCCCAAATGTTGACTGGTAGAGAATGCTACTACCATTAATTACGCTTTTGTACCATATTTACTTTAGGTCAAAAAAGTTATTTAAATAAATAAATAAATCCCAGTAATGGTACAGCACTAAAAGAAAATTATTTTTCAAACCGTTACTAAAGCATGTTGCCATATAAACCGGAATGCAGAAGCAAAAGTATTCAGTAATTAAGGCTGACAACATGAGGTTCCTCATACTTCTGTGTAAGTGAAAACTTAATCGCTCAATTGAGTTTAAAAAAAATCTGGAGATTCTCAATTCGATTGTATTTTCAACCGACTTAACCCTTTAAGTGCCGACGAGCGCCATCGCGCTCGTGCGCATTGCAACTAAAAGTGCCACGAGCGTCATAGCGCTCGTGAAATCAGTCGCTGTTTAGCTTGCTGTAAAAAAAAATATTAAAATTGGATAATTTTTGGAGGAGATACTGTTTTTTTAGAGACAAGGGTAAATGACATCAACACGACAAAGATTTCTTTGGCATTTTTAAGTAGATATGAGTAAAAATCAATGGCACTAAAAGGGTTAAAAGGAAGTTCTCAATTTGGTTGTATTTTTTTTGTTTGCCTCATAACTTATTTATGTATGTAAGTTTATATTTATATATATTAATATTGTATCCTTCAAATAATATATATATATAATTTGTAATTTATGTAAATATTTATTTAAATTTCTGTCTTGCACTACTACTGCCCACTCACTACTTCCTATGCCACTGTGTTAGGTTGACTGGAAGAAATCTCTTAGATATAAGTTCGCCTTTGCTAACATTTGCAACATACTGATTGTTGCCGTAGAAATTTTGTCAAAATCAGTTCAATAGTTTAGTTTTTAAATTAAAATAACTGGTTTTGTCACAATTCAGTTTTGTTTGTGGAACACAATCTTAAATTATTTTATGTTTGTTACCTCTTAAATCTGTCATTTATAAAAGATATGAAAAATTTCTTTTTTTTTTTATTTGAAAGGATTCATTCAAATTGGTCTTACAAAAATATTATCAAAATCGCTTCAGAAGTTTAATTTTAAATTAAAATAAGTATTTTAAAATAAGTACATTTTTTGTAGAACAAAAAATTTAAATTATATTTTTTTTATACCACTAAAGTGGCAAACAAGCATACGGCCCACCTGATGGTAAGCGACAGTAGCCTATGAACGCCTGCAATAGCAGGGGCTGAGCTTACAAATCATAAAAGAATTATAGTAGCTCTGCCTAGTGATTTAATCTACAAAGTACTAAGGAGAGATGATAGGTGAGAATGAAGTCAAATAAAATGGACCAACATAACGAAATCATTAGAAATTAAACAGGATCGCTTCCAGGTGGAATTATGTCGACATACAGGGTACAATTCTAGCAAGAAACACAAATAGTAAAACGTTTTCGAATATTCCAGTTACTATCCTGGGACTAGCAGCACTTGGACAATGTTATCAAATTCTTAACCGTCCGCGCCAATTATGCGGGTGCCCGCCAACAGACGACTGGGTATGCGCTAGCAACTTAAAGACATATAACAGTGTATGTGAGATGCTGTGTGATGATCCCACTGCTTATGTACTATTCCACGCAAGGTGTGAGGATCAAACAAGTTATCCAAAACCAAGTCCAGTTATTACAGCAATCAATCCCACCTATATTTAGGTGGAACAATCAATAAAGTTATTGATGAGAACTTTTTTTTTTTTTAATTTACACAGCGCTACATAATCTTAAACTAAGATGAGGGAAGAGACTGTCTAATATCAGCATTGCTAGCAATATATCATGTTGACCGCCAAAAAATTTCCCCTTTGAAAATCACTGTGGTTAATTCTTGAATTCACCATGCTTTTACATACATACATATCTGACACACCTATCTCCTATGGACTACTTTTAAATCCCTCTATCATCTCTCATTGGTACCCCTTCAGTATTACTGATAGTGAAGGCGAGGTTGCCATTCTATCATCTCCCATTAAAAAACTAATATGGAGATAAAATTATTAGTAATAGAGTCCAAGGAGGCCTTTGGTAGCAATATTAATCTCTATACAGTTCTCCTGGAATCCGTCATATTTAATTTTTAGTAAATTCATCATGATAGCCTAACTGATCTAAATTCACCATAACATACCATTCCATACTACTATATACCAATAGTGCAAGCAGGTTTACCAATACAATTTTATATTTTATTTTATTTAATTATATATTTAAATAGCACAAACTAAGCAAAACTTATACTAGTAAACTGATAAAACATATTTATTCAAATTTAAAGCCATTATCCTGAAATTCATATTATGGTTATACATTATTAATAGATATGCTTCAGAACAGTAGCTGGATCAACATGTCCTGTAGAGGCCTCCTCTACTTTTTTCCATATTTCCTATCCCTTGCTGTCCTCAACCACAATGTGCATGCATTCCAGCTCAGGAAGACTTTTTTAAATACATACATGTTATACATAATATGAATGTAATGAAACATAATATGAAATATCCAAACAATTACAAATAGATATACTTTAAAAAAAAAAGGATTAATGAAGAAATCAAACCCGTGACCATCATGCGATGTGTTATGTACTACACCAAGGTCATTAAATTGTAATGTTCCTTTAACTTTAGAATAGTTATAATAGAGTGTGTCCAATAGGCGCGAAGAGCTTCAATAAATAAAATCAGTTTTACAACCTAACAACAAGTTACCATTTATTATATATTTACTTATCACTTATTTGGGATTCTGAATGCATTTTAAAATAATTTTAAACAGTCAAATAAGTTAAAGAATACAGGTAGAAAAAAACCTGTAGATGCTTTTATAATTATAATTTACTATGACATAACTCATACTTACACACATATACACAAAATTGCATATGTTTTATGTTTGTGTTATATGTTTAAGACAATATAGAGACAGTTTGAGTATTGTGGTTATATACATACAGCATGAAGATATTGCAGATGTGCATGAAAATTTAAAAGCATTTCCATCAATCAATTGTATATATTCTGCTCTCCTACATATAAGAATAATAAAAGTGTACAATATATTGACTTGTTATGTGTACTTGAATTTGAATTTAATGTTTCATTCCCTGCTAGGACAAGCCTGTTCCGGTTAAAACAAACCAGCACAATAGGAGCATCTGGGCATATACAGAGGATGAAATAATCTGTTAATAGGGTTCTGTTTTTTTAGATAAAAATGTATTTAAATACTAGCTTTTACACATGACTTCATCCGCATGACTAGTAAATTTTTAGTGAGTTATCGCAAATAAAAAGAAGCCTTTCCATCAAGAAGAAAGGTTCTTAAGTGGTGACCCTGTATAAGCAAATACAGTGTAGGACAACCCCATCCCCCTACATAAGTGTTGACACAACTGCATTTTGGGAGTTAATGGATCCAGGTTGCTCAGTACTACAAAAACTACTTAACTGATTTTAAAAAATGCTTAAATTAAATTAAACTCATTGCTGGTGGGACACCAGTGAAAGGTGATAGTTACTAACAATCCCTTCTCCCTCAAGTACTACTCATTGTCTACCCCATCTAAGATAACAGTCACCAGTGGCAGAACAAAACTGAAATTTGGTGTGAACAAAATATATTTCATACCAGGCCCTTTGTGATGCTAAATTGTCGTTTAAAAAAGAGTATTGTAAAATTCTGAAAAAAACTGAAATCTGCAAATTATAACACCACTCACAAAGTTGTGAGTGCTGGCTCATTTCACCTACAATTTACGCCATTTACATATTTTGTTCATTAAAAAAAACATATACATACCCCATCGATAATTTGACAAAAATGGACTGCTACACAAGCACTAGTGATGTTTGGAAACTTGCTGGAAGAGTGGATCAGCACTGAGATTTTCTTGGAACGTATCTTGGTAGCACGATATCCAAACACAAACAACATAGAGTCAATCACATTGCTTTTCCCACTGCCATTTGGTCCGATAATGGAGGTAAAGCTCTGAAATGAGAATTAATGCACTATTATTAATATGTCTTGGCCTCAGCATAATGTAGCTGTGTCTATACCATTGTTCAAGTTACGCCTGCTATAAAATTTTACAAAACTTAATAATATACTTATTACTAAAACAGTAAATGGGCTTGGATTGGTTATATATTGAGAAAAGCAGAACAAAAAAAAATTGCAGAGCAAAAGCAGATAAAGACTGTACAAAGATTGGATAGATAAAAAAAAAATATTTATGTAAACATTAACTCAAAAAACTATAAATAAATAACTACTGTAATTGGGTTTTTATCCTTAACTTAGTGTTATTTTTTATTTTTAGCATCTATTTCTACTACAAACTTATCAGAAATTTAAGAGTGAATGTAACATTTTGACTATTTTTATTAGAAACCAACAGATCCATTTGGAAGAACATCATCTCATATGTTTACATGAGTCTGAATTATGGCATTGTTCTGTGTTAATGGGTATTGCGAAAAACAATTCTTATATTATTTCAGATAATTACCTTATGAAATGGACCCAAAGTCTGTACACCGGCATAGCTTTTAAAGTTCTCATTGACAATATGTGTGATCAACAATCTCGGTCCAGTGGCATCGAAAGTTAACGCAGGTTTGGGGGCTGGCGGTATGTAAATATCACCGATACGCATACCACCTTCTTCGTCATCCGATATGTGGTCTATATCATCATTTACGTTGTTCTCCTCAGAGTTTTGTGTATCACCATTCTGTGTTGATGTTGGATTTTCGTCAACATCCATAGGTTCCTCATTACCCTTTTTCTTTTTTGTTTTCTGCATTTTTATTACTGAAACACACTACCCAACACAATTAGATTATATTGTTTGTTCTGCTATTATCCTTAAATACACCAAAATATAAAAATAATTTTGAATCTTTGAATCCCAACCGGTAAACAAAAAACCAGTGGGGTATAGAACGCGGGATCTGTTATAGATTACTGAATGACAAGTAGTACTTGTCATTATACCTAACCTGTGGCGTGAACTATAGATAAAGGATGCTGAAAATACTATGCTTGATCTATGGAGTAAACTGATAGTGCAGACGGGGTTTTTTTTTCGATTACTATTTATTTAATTAAACAGACAGCAAAGACAATGATTTACTTTTAATAATTGATAAAGAACGTCATTTCATTAGAAGAGCGAGGACTTTTTTGATTTATTAATAACAAATAAAAAAAGTCCTCATTAAATATTTTTGAGTATTGTAGATTCGTATGTAGTGCGAATGTAGAGACATAGTTATGTATTTACGGTTATAGAAAAAATCGTTTAAGATGTTAAATATATTATTTAAAATTTTGAAGATATATTATCTTAGAAATCTAAATTAATCAATATAAATATTTATTATAAACAAACAGTAAGTTGGTTACACTGTCGTGTATTTGTGACTGGCTAAAAGGCTTCGAATTAGGAGCCGTAAACATACATATAAAAAAAAGTATTTGTCAGATTTTGACAGTTTGTCGCTTCTGTAGTTTTTTAGAAAACGAAAATGGCTAATCGCACTGTAAAAGACGCGAAATCTATTCGTGGTACAAATCCTCAATATTTAATTGAAAAGATTATTAGATCTCGTATATACGATTGTAAATACTGGAAAGAAGAATGTTTTGCATTAACAGCAGAGTTACTTGTCGACAAAGCTATGGAATTGCGATACGTAGGAGGCGTGCATGGTGGTTTTATTTACCCTACACCTTTTCTGTGTCTTGTATTAAAAATGCTACAAATACAACCTGAAAAAGATATTGTGGTAGAGTTTATCAAAAATGAAGAATTTAAGTATGTTCGCGCGCTTGGGGCTTTTTATATGAGACTCACTGGATCTTCGGTGGATTGTTACAAATATCTGGAGCCTTTATACAATGATAATAGGAAATTAAGGCGGCAAAACCGAGAGGGTCAGTATGATATTGTGCATATGGACGAGTTTATCGATGAATTACTCCGGGAAGAAAGATTGTGCGACGTCATTTTGCCGAGAATTCAGAAACGATATGTACTTGAAGAAAATAATGAGTTGGAACCAAAAGTGTCAGCTTTAGATGACGATTTAGATGAAGACATTCCTTCTGATGAAGATAATGCTGAACCTGATATGAAAGAAAACAAAAGAGATAAAGATCGAAGAGATAGGGACAGAAGAAGAGAAAGGTCTGTTATCATGTTACTTATTACTTTACCAGCCCATAACATTTATATTAGACATAGTCTATACAGGAACTAGTACCATACTATTATATTATTAGTTTTTCTTCTCTTGCATTGATACATTGTAAGTTGTTCCCTTAGTCATATCTTATATATCTCTTGCAATATCCTGGGAATGAAAAGAATTAATGGCATCTTGTATTCATACTCTATTAAGATGTGTAAAATACTTTTTTATTATAATGAAGTTATTTTATCAATACAATTTGTGTGATTAGTAATTTTTTTATTATATCTTTAGGAATTTACATAAACTTGTTATTAACTCTGATGAGATGTTATAATAACTAGAAATGTGATATTGTACAACTTTGTTGAAAAGTGAAGCATCTGTAATCAATATATGTGGAAATTTAGGAAACTTGCTTTTGCTTTCTTTTAAAAGTTTTTTTTTGTTATAGATCCAGAGATCGTGACAGAAGGGATAAAGATAGGAAGAGAGAACGCTCAAGAAGCAGAGAACGTGAACGAAGAAGAGAAAGAGAGAGAGAACGGGAAAAAGAGAGAGAGCGTGAGAAAGAAAGGGACAGAGAAAGGAGAGAGCAACGTGACAGAGAGAGGGAAAAAGAGAGAAGAGATAGAGACAGGCATGAATTTGATAGAAGGAGAGAGAGAGGCGGTAGATATTAACTAGGTATAGGACTTAAATAAACATTTTAAACCAGTTTTTCAGCTATAATTTTTACCCCTATTTATATTATTCTGGTTAATTTAGATCTATCGTCTACTGTTGTATAATTATGATAATAATTGATGTTAATAGCACTCATCTGCATATTTGGAATCATTTTGGGGCAGGGGGGGCATGGCTCCTTAAAAGGCTCATTTGTATTCTTAATTAGACATGTTTGCTTACAGCTAAAAGCTCCACTATTAATCCTTGGGTGGGCACTAGCACTGGTTAGAAGGAAAAGAATTAACCATGATGGTTTCCAGGGGTAACTGCATGGAGGTTGACCTGATAGGGTATATTTCTAGCAATGGGGCTGTTAAATCCCATTATTAATAATATCTTCCCCCTGGCAGGTAATTTTTTTTCTAAATGGAAGGTAATGAAATGGTAACAGTTCCGCACTAACTGTTTACGCTGGTGGGGCGCCAGTAGTATATGAGAATAAAAAGGCAGGTAAATACATCTGTAATTCAGCACGATGGTTTCCAGGTTGGGGTATCACGTGTAGGTCGACTTGACAGGGTATCTTAATTGAGACTGGTAGTCCGCATTACTAATGATCCCTTCTCCCCCAGAGCAGGGCAATCAGTTCTCTTATAAAGTCAGAATGATGATTTCCAGGGGAGGTCGACTTGACAGGATATATTATTAGTAATGGGACTAATATGGACGGATGAAAAAAGAATTACGAAAGAGATTTATCTAGCAAGAATAAATGTAGATGTCGGTAGAGGCCGCCTTAGACGGGCATATGTCGTCCAAATAGGCGACGTGCTGAAGAAGGGCCAAATTAAAAGTACCCGTAACCGGCGAGCGTATATGAAAAGATTGATGAATGTGGAAGAAGCGAAACATGTTTGTTTAAATCAAAACAATTAGCGTTCCATTGTTTATGCCTACCTTAATGGGAGACAGGCGTGACAGATATGTATGTTTAGGACTAATAGTATCCATTACTTCCCTTTGGCTCATATTTACGCTGTAGTGGGGCTTAAAATAACATACGTGCGGTGCCCTAGTCATAGTTTCATGTTGAAATTCACTTCTCTGTACTTGAGGTTGTACAAAAAATTAACTATATTAAAGGGATAAGGCAGTTGTAAATAAATATATGCAGCTCTTCGGAACAACAATTTAATAAAAATAATATATTGTAATTTATTTACATAGAACAAGGTATTTTTATTTTCATTAACAATTTATAGCAATACTGAACAGATTGTGAGCAAATTTACAATAATGTTATTTTATCTAAGCATAAACTACAGTCGGCTATTAAGACCGGTTTGAAAACGTATGAATATTTTTAGCGGCTCTATGGTTCCTCACTTACAAACATATGAAACAAAATTATTTATGCAAAATCCTCAGAAATTGGCGCATAACTATTTATCGTTTTAGAGAAGGTGCAAATGTATCGGTGAATACCAGTCTCTGTTATTGGACATACAAGAAGAAAAGGATGTCGATGTCTTGTAGGATCGCGTGTACAGCAGTGTACACGTATCTATCGATTAGGCATGGCAATTATTTCTATTTTATATAGATTCGTTTGCGATTTGTCTAGAGAGACCGGTGTGTATAAATATACATAGCTATCTTCAGGCTCAGATATATAGAATCGACACATAGAACTGACTTTCAGAGTCAGATTTTTAAGGGTCTTAGAAATTTCATAGTTCAATGGGATCTTTTCCCATTAATTAATTTGTACGTTTAGCAACTAATTAGGTATTATTGCCAATAAATAATTATACAAATTTATATTCAGAGACTAAAACAAAAGCCAAGGACGGCTTGATATACCTAAATCTAACCTATAACAAAATACATAGTTGTACATACGATCTTTCACTGAAATTAATAAAATTAATATTGATCATGTATATATATTTAATAGGTAGATACATAACTTGAGTGCTAACGATTCGCAGGCAAGCGAGCATTTTGTATGAAAATAATCAGTAATGGTTGATAGATGTAATGGAAATAATGATGAATGAATGATTTATTGTTTCTTTATACGAAATGTAAAATTAACAAATTAAGCTACAATGAAATATATGTGACCGGTGTTGTGGAGACTGGTGCTTGTAATATCGTCATAGTCGTGGAATACTGACGGATCTGACGAATATTACATACAAAGTTCCGTCAGTATTCTACGACTATGACGATATGTCAGGGCTGTTCAAACTAGGGCCAATAAAAATTCGTTGGGGGACCGCTAAATATTTGTAAGAACAAAATGCAGCTATAATATATAATTTTTTCATTAACTTATGTTTTTCTATTTTGTCAATATCAATATTCATAGTAGCTAGAAAAAATTTGGCGAGCCACATCAATTCAAGCCACAGGCCGCATGTGGCCCGTGGGCCATGGTATGGACAGCTCTGTAATACGTAATGATAAACTGTTCTTAAAATATGTATATATAATCATTACCATTTAGTATTTATGATATTAACTACATAGTCCAATATCAGGTACAGAGTAATTACACTAAAATTTTATCAATTTTTACTAAATAACATTAACATATTTATCTAAAGCCTGGCCAGAAATATAAAACTGTATTGATGGTGTCGCAATTGACAGGCAAGTGTTAAATCTATCTATTTATAGATATGTCTATACTACTGCATGAAATAAAGTGTATGTGATAGCGTAATCGTATCTACAAGTAGGCTAGCGCCATATTCAATATCATCGGTAGCGTATTTTCGGTAACTGGATAGCGGCGTTATGTCGACGTTTTAAAGAAATTTGGCCGAGATTAGTAAATTGTATGCAATTTAATGTATCGGTGTTCGTTGTCGAAGATACACGATTGAAGCGCTATGGCTACATAGATTAGTTTTTACTATCGCATGTATGTAAAATAACGAGAGAGTGACATCTGACGTCTTGGTCTTTCTTATGTAAGAAGTAACGAAAACGTATCTATCTATATCTGCCGGTAGATTCTGATGGAAGACATTCGTTGGTGTCTGAGAGTCATCATCATTGGCGATAATAAACCTCAGAGCCTTACTCCGGTCTACATTTGAATGTTGCTAGTAAAAGAAATGTTTTCAAAGGATCCGTAACTTAGGGAGAAGTTTTATTTTTCTGGTTCGGCTTAATATCTCACAGTAATATTAAATATTTGCATTTCATAAGTTTATATCGACTTAAAATTATTACATAAAATGAGTGAGCCACAGAGATCGAAACGAATAAAAAAAATATTATGTAATTGTACAAACTTCAGAGAACATAAAAAAAATTGTTCCAGAAAAGAAAGTTTCAATTTTAACAGGGGAATACATAGTTTTGATTTAAAAATGAATAATCTAAATCGTTCAGAATGAACAAACTATCACGTAAAATACAAAAAATACAGGTGAATTGAGAATTTCCTCCTATTTCAAGTTAATTAGGTAGGTACTTTTAATTGATAAATGTCAATGTCAAAATGGTATCACCAAACAATTTTTTTTATAACACAGGGGCAAACGACTATGAGGCTCATCTGATATTAAGTGATTACTGCCGCCCATGATCACTCGCAAAACCAGTGACATTGCAGGTGTGCTGCCGGCCATTTAAAAAGGAAAATGCTCTTTTCTTAAAGGTTTTAATGTCGTATCGGTTTGGAAATGCTGCTGTTGGAAGTGGATTTCGAAGAGTGGTTGTGCGTGGAAGAAAGTGCCTTGAAAAACGTACAGTGGAGGACCGTCACTCATCCAGACGGTTGGAATGGAACTTTAGTGTGTGGCGGTTGTATGGTGGTGAAAATTAGCAGCAGGTATCGATCCGAACAATTCTAAAAATATAGTATATGTGTATATTTCCATATATATATATATATATATATATATATATATATATATATATATATATATATATATATATATATATTTGTAATTGGCTATAAATATAAAGACAAAGCCAGTATAAAAAAAAAGAAAATTCACATATCCCAATTGACTTAAAATAGGATATTTTCATTTCAATAGTACTTTTCCTTTTAGGAATAGGAACTTTAATAATGAGGTTTTAAGGTTTAAATATTGAGAGTCCTGCCACAGTCTATACCAATGCAATTGTGATTAACTTTCTTTACAATTTTCATAAATGTTGATTGTAATGTAACATTATAAAAATGATTCAAACTTGTTTATAAATACAAAGACTCATAAGTTGAAAATTATCCACATAATTATTTATTTGTATTATTGTTTAAACAATACAGCTAGAAAAAAACCGTTTTTCCAATTAGCATCTTGGCTGAAGTAATGAAATGAAAAACTAACTAGTATATTACAATTATACACTTGCAATTATATATATATTTACAACATGAATAACACATCCCACATTGTAGACAAGTGAAATAAATTTATATTTCTAAAATATTCTACAGCATTGGCGAAGTAAATTAATCTTTATTGCTTTCCAGTTAAGACTTTCTAAGATGCATAAAAAATAAGACAGCATGTCTCGTATTTAATCCATTAAACAACCTTTCAGTTATAATAGCAACTTTTCAGAGATTATATATTTTACTATGTAAACACTAATTGATAAAGTAAAATAAAATAATAGTCTTAAACTTGAATTAGATTCAGACGGCGCCACAAATTACAATGACAATAAGTTGTCTAGAAAAAATCGCAATCGCAATGTGCTGATGATGTTTTTGTATAAATACGGGAAAAACAAATTAGGTACTTGTTTTTTTTTTTTTATATCTACTATTTTGTATTTTGGATATGTTAAGAGACAGCAATGAAAGCTGAAGTTGTTTACAAGATGTTCGTTGTTTGTAGTATATAATTGGGTATATTTGATTTAAAATCAGTTTATTTCACTTTTAACTCATTCATTAAATCATAGTGCCATGTATTCTTATCTCTGATGTAAAATGTAACATGCATTTCAAATACCATTGTAAAATTATATTTGTTGTAAAATTTTGACGTAAATATTTCATTTTATTATCAAATATGGGATGTTAACGGTTTATTTAGAATAGTAAAATATATAATTTCAGCTGAAGGTATCGTCAATAATAAACGCTAGTAATTATAAAGTTAAAAACAAGCTAGATCATTCTAGAAGCTTACACCCACGAAGGCCATCATAAAAACACGATTTTAATATATACAAACAATTATATTGCTTACTTACATCATATACATTTAAATGGAGAATCAACTTTTATTGACGCGAAGTTTTTTTCATACTGAGCATCTAGCTATTCAAATATGAATAAATAAAATGATAGTTTGCATGATGAAAGTGTCTAATTATAAGATTAACACAATTTTAAAAGCACGCTAGTTTTAAAAAAAGTTCCTTTTTTTTATTTGGAGGATATATATTTCAATTTACGATCGGAACTTAACTCTACGTAATGCTAATAATGCGAGCAGCATGTGGTCGAATCCATTTCGAAACGTCACCAATAAAATCAGGTAAGTAGGTACTATTTACCTGTACTCGCATCGCGTTATCCCGATCGTGAATTCAAATATTACACATATTTACTTAACAATTGCGAAAGTTTAAAATTAACCAGGGATATATACTGTATCTGACGTTATGATATCTCTGTCTAAATGTTATTACCTAAGCTCACTGCTCATTTCGGTTGTAGGTCTTCATAATGCCAGCTAATGACGGCACTAACGACTTTGGCTAGAAGGTGGGCGCGTTCATTATGAAGATCCGATGTTCCTCTTTCTTTATCCATTGTATTAGTCGGTCTACCGCTCTGATGGCTTGATCCTTCTCCATTAAGGGGTCGAATGTTACGTATAATTCGAAACCATTCGTCACCTACAATATAAATTATTTTTTATGTAAAATAAACTGATCGCCTACTTGGTGGAAAGTAGTAACTATCATAGAGGGGGAAGGGATTGTGAGTAATGGGGACTAAAGTCCCATTGCTAGGTATTGCTACCCTGTTAAGTCGACTTCCTCACGATTCTCTTGGAAACTACAGTGCTTAACTCTAACTCTAGGTGAATTCATCATAATGGGTTACCGATCTATTTTTTTATTCTCACCTATCATCCGCCACTGATACGCCAGCGTATACCGTTAGCGATTCGATTAGCATTCCATTATCACCCATTAAAAAAATTGTCGTTTATAGACATGAATGACAGTATGATGCATTGTAATAAATAATTAAAATTATTCAAAGAAAAATTTAAAAAATAATTTAAAAAACTAAACTAATGAACCAATTTTGATACAAATTCTATGAGGCCAATCTGTAAGTATTAGTAATGTCTTTTCAGATAAAAAAAAAGAATATTCCAAATCGATGGCTTTAACAACTGATGGCGTTATGAGGGAACAAACCTAAAAAAATACATAACTGAATTGGAAGCCTCCTTCTTTTTGGAGTTGGTTGAAAATTATAACTAAAAAAGTATCTATATATGGGAGATATTTAAGAAAAAATAATGAGGGGTATTAATAAGACCATAGGTACCAAAACAATGATTTTTAGAAACGTCATATGGCCTGTAAATGTGTTTCAGGATCATGCAAACAACTTTACCAAATTGGATATGGTTATTACAGTTGTCTCCCTGAAGATCAAACTTAAAAACTGATATATGTTTTATCTTAATACGCAATCTAGAAGTGGTATGTTTTATTCGAAAATAAAAGAGAATATTAGATTAGTAAATGCATTGCAAGGAGACTGAATGCAGGTGGCACAGGACCATTCCTTATGGCAGTCTATGACTTATGTCCAGCAGTGGACGGATAATGGCTGAAATGATGATTAAATTAGTAACAATTAAACTTACCCAAGCAATAACGGTATCATGTGAATTGGATCTAAAAATTAGTTTAGCCGGTATCGAAGTGCAATGTATTTGACTGCAAAACTTCCTATAATTCCGTACGTAATCTATGTCCGATAATTTTTCTATTTTCTTCACAGTAATATCACCACCTTCTTTGTGTCTTGTCCTGTAATCTTGCAATCGGTCCAGACTTATAGGATCTGAAGTAAACAACTGAGCGGTTGACTTGGATTTGTACATAAAATGTCTTATTTCCGGTATGCCGATATGTTTTAAAGGATTTGTAGTAGGTAATTCTTCGTTTCTATTGAGAGCGTCGTTTATGGCGACCAAGCAGTTTGACCGTCTTAGTTTTTCGGCTATTGTGTGTTTGGCTTGTGATAGTGGGAAGAATGCGTCGCGTTGCACCGTTAGTAGTAGCAGGCACGCCTGGCAGTCCTCCGATATGTAAGATACATGACCGTGTAAGAAGCCTCTGTAATTAATATAATGACAGGCTTTTTAATGGCCAATAATTTTAAACATTTAAATAAATACACATAATATTAACACTAACCTAAAAGAGTGACTGTCGAATTTCTTACAGGTTCTTCTCAGCAGATTTACCACCAGACAGAACACCTTTTTGAAGCTTGCATTTATAAAAAATGACGATACAAAAGTGCTTATAAACAAGTCTATTTGAATAAAGATGAATTTGATTTTGACATAGCGTCATCTAGCCTCGAAAGAGCTTACTTTATAGATAGACAATGGATAGTGGTGGGTGGGTAGACAACCGGTAGGTACTTTATACTTTTCGTTAGATACCCGTCTCGAAGTGAACGACCAGTGCATTTAGCATAACAATTACTTTGTCTGTCTGTTTACGCATTCTATCATCCAATATATAACAATTATTAAATTTTTTTTTTTTTATTTCTATAACATTTTTCAATTCATCATCATCATATCAGTCTTTAACTGTCCACTGCCGGGATGGGTAGCAGTGTTCCTACTGATACATCACAAAGTCAGTGCGCCAGTGTCGCCTGCCAATCGTGGCAACTACTGGCAAAACCTCCCAATAGGGGGAGACCTATGTTTAATAGTGAACAGATAATGGCCAATATGATAATGATGTTATTATTGTTTAATTTAGAGAGTGCTTCTGTGATAATTTCAATAAAATTTGGTTACCTTTTTTTGAAGTTTTTTTTTAAACCAGCTATAAATATATATATGAGTAGTCATCAACTTACGTAGCATCAAATTTGGGCAAGCATATTGGCGTCCAACTTTCAGCAGTTTTAAAGGACTCCGAACTGCGAACCAAGTTGAACAAGAGATGTATGTCCGATGGGTGCAATGTATATTTCTTCATTCTAACTAGAGTAATTAGTTGATTGCCAGCAATCATTATGGCAAACACCAGATCTCTTATCTTATTGCATGCTGAAATTATTGCGTTTGTTATATTCTCTCTTGCTTTTTCTGGTAATGGTAAACATCTCACGGCCCCTGAAAAAAAAATCCTCATAAAATATTACTACCAACAAAACCTTAATTGTATTTAATTTAAATAATAACCAGTCTTTAACTGTAGCTATGCCTATGACTATGTTGTCTGGAAGAGATTGCTTTGATAAAGATGCCTTTTGTATAATTTTTCATTAATATTTACTGTACTTGGTGCAATAAGGTGTAAAATAAATCAATATGCCCACGTGACTAGAATAAAATGAATAAAAACTAAACTACTCAAACGATTTTAGTAAAATTTCTATGGAATAAATCTCAAAGTATATTTGTATAGATAAAAAAAATAATTTTCCAAACCTATTAATAAATGACAAAGTTCTGAGGTAACAAAGATAAAAAGACCCTCCTCTTTTTTAAGTCAGTTAATAATCAGTTCCAAAAACAAAAAGTCTACAAAACAATTATATGAAATAACTAGTTATGATCCGCGACTTTGTCTATGGGATCAGGGTATGTTTCCTGACCGTCATAAAAAGTATACTATAGCTTTCTTAACCACGTATAGTATGTGTATACCAAATTTCGACCATTTGGCCAAATTTCGACCCGGCATAGAATCGGTCACCCATTCCTTTCCCATGGGTGTGTAGGAGGTGACTAAGGGAGGGTGAGCGATTGGCAGCAACGTCCCTCTTCAAACAACTCTAAAGTCTAACTATGGTTGCTAATTTACCTGCCAAACGTGGTAAGTACTAGCAAAACTCTCCCAAAGTTCCTCTCTCTTCTCCAACATAAGTTTCCCCATGTTCAGCGGTGGACAGTTAAAGGCTGATATGATGGTAGCAAGTTTCATAACGATTGGTTAAGCTGTTAAGGTCTTATCAAGTAATAAATAAAGTAAGGATTGTTTTTTATAAATACTGCACCTAATAAAAATGCAGGGTCCTTCTCCATAAATACCAATAAGTTGTCAATCAATCTCTCGACGCCTGACAACAATCTTCGCAAGTCATAGTTCCTCCTTTGTTCAAATATTCTATTTAACTGGGTCAGTGTCAACATTGATACTACTTGGTTGAATGCATATCTGTAACATAAGTGTTTGTAAATAAGTCTGTATCAGTATAAAGAAAACAAAGCAAAATCCCCTTTAGCCTTTTATCTATAAAGTACAATTTATGAAATAGTTCTCAATTAATCTAATAGGCTGACAACCTAGGTTGACCTGAGGCACAGATTTTATGTAGTCTAATAGGAATAAGATGAGACAAATTATTATGAAAGTACACAATGTTAAAATTGTGTACAGATAGATGCTAAAGGCTATCAGTTTTATTTGAGTGAATCACTTAAGTGATACCACTGCACATAACAATCACAGTTTTCCCTAGATTGTGTAATTATTTTAGATTTGTAAACAAAACGTGTAATAAACAACAAAAAAAAAAAAAAAAAAACATTTAACCTATTTTTATAGAACCTAAAGTCAATAAAAAAAAAATTACTGTGACTAAATGGCTTAGTATACATATATCGAATTTTTCCACTGATGTATTTGTTGCCTTCTTACTCCATTCACTATACACGTTAGTTCTTAGAATAGAAACAGTACATTATATTTTATGAGATAAAAATGGAATAGTAAAAGATTACTATTACTCAGCCAACTTGTGATAACACAGACCTTATCTGTAGTAAGGAGATCTCATTCCTATCTTGACAAATTAACTGGGAATTAACACACAATGAAGGAGGACACATGGAGGTTGATCTGACAGGGTATATTTTGCTAGCAATATGACCCTTCATCCAAATTAAATTATTGGATATGCATTAATTATATACTACTCACGTTAATTGTAAAACCAACTGTGTTTCACTCTCATTAGACTTTGACACGGCAACCAGTATTAAAGGTCCCTTGACTAGGAATACTGCTTTGCAGTCTTTAGTATTGATAGATCTCAATATATCTTGGTTTTGTTCTTCTATAAAACTGACCAGTGCTTGAATTACTCCACATAGTCCTGCTAGTTTGTCCTCATTTCCATATCTAGAAGTAATTTTTAAATATTTTTATAAAAGTGTAATAGATAATATTGCTGTAAAAAATGTAAGTTATTTTTTTTTATATTGCAAAAGTGGCAAACAATCATTTGTGCTTCAGAGTATGTTACCCTTGTTTATTGTTTTACAAGGATAGTTAATTTTTTTTAAGATTTCTTGCATTTTTATTAATACAAATACATGTAGCAACCAAAATGTTATACAAAATGTATTATGGTAGAAATAAAAGCAAAAGGAATCATATGTAAACAGGTTCTAAGTGTTTAACATGGCAATTGTTGCCGTTGATAGTGAATTCATCTTCACACACTCAATCCTAAATTGTCACATAATATATGGTTTCATAGGAATTTTCTCTTACAAACATTGAGGCTGTAGAATGAGCTCCCTGTTAAAGTTTTCCATATAAACTACAGTATGGGGGTTATTAAAAATGGGAATATTAAGATTTTATTAGGATCGCCGTTGTGCATATGACACTTCTAGTGTTGCAGGCGTCCATAAGCTACAGTTGAAATATTTGGTCCTTTTCTATTGCACTAATTCCTTAATTTTAAAACAGTGACAAAACCTTTTAATAATTCATTCAAATAGGTTTGTTGTTGTAAAATACATTTTAGTTTTTATGTATAAGGAGGTTATATTACAAAAAATGTAATGACTGATTTTTCTTACCCTTGTACTAAATATGCATTAAGTATAAAAATAATAAATCAATACAATTTAAATTACCTTGAATAAATAGGCTTTCCAGCAGAACTTAGTATGAATACATGTTTTTCCTTATTCACCAGCTCTGGTGATTGTAAATAATCATCTTTTTCATTGTCACAATCCTCATCAACACCATTCTGTTCTGTTAAGTTGGAATTGCTAGCTGATGCTGACATTGCCCCCTAAATGAAATAAATAATATATATTTATATTTTAGTCCACTTTCATAATAATGGAGCCAATAAGTGTAAAATAAAATAATAAAATGTTTACTATTCCATAACAATGTATTAATATCATTTCTGGACAGTTGTTTTCCTTATTATAGCTTCCTTATAGCAATCATAAAACTATTCAGGGAGGCAGTATTAGGTTTTAAGTTTCCTTTTTTTACAAAGTTGTGTGTTAAGATACAAGAGTCCACAACCAGGTTTGCTATCTAATGACAGCTTTTGTAACATCATAGTAAGTAGAAAAAAATGGCAAGTTTAAGTTTTAAATAGATTGAGGTACTCTTCAACTATCTCTACCTATAACTTTGGTAGAAATTGAGAACCCATAGATATAAACTAAGGATACTGCAATGCTGTCTACTACTTAAAATACGCATATTTAAAAAAATAAGGAATTCAAACTTACATCTTTACTTTGTAAGTCATCACTTGATTTTGTATTTTTCATTTGGGCATTTTCTTTAGAACTTTCGCCGATTTCACTTTGAATTTCACTTATAGTACTACCTTTTGCTGTTAAAGAACTGTCTCTATCCTGAAGACTAGAGCTCATCTCAGATGCAAACTCCTCAAATGAATCTGTAGGATTCAGGATACTTTCAGAACATGCGCCAGGCTCCAGAGTATCGGTTACGTTACTTTGCTCTGCAGTACAATTGTTAGTATTATCTTTGGACGTAGACGCCATTGTGATGAAATTTATGTAAATAAATAAACGATTTACAAAAATAAATACTTTTGTGAATCCGCATAGGTCTGGCTAAAATGTACAGTCAAAATGTCACTTGAATAATGACGGATATTTTTGGCAGTGACAACCAATTTACGTTTTGTGGCAGTTAACAACAATGTTGCTAGTATTATAAAACCTTTCAATTTTGACTTTGTTTTTGATATCAGTAAATCCTATTGTGAAATATTAATATGACAAGGTTGAAATTACGAGTATAACATTTTTTCTTTTAAGTAGATACAATGAAATTAAAATTGTATCGTATGAGGCACTTCTGTCACGTGTCAATGCACTCTTTAGAAAATAATATTTAATTTAAGAATTTTCCAAAAGAAGGAGTATCTTAATTCATATGTATTTTCATTTTAAAGCTATAAATAATAACGCTTCAATCTCAAGTGGCAACATAATATCACTTTCATCAGTGGCAAGTTAGTTTATTTTTTGTTCGCTCACTAATTGATTTTTAGTTAAGAGCAAGTGAATAATTGCAAACATGTCAAAAACACGAAAATTGACAGTAATTATGGCAATAGAAACTTTTGTTTTATTGGTCATCGCAAACTTACTATTGCAATACACATACAAACTAACTACATAGCTCAAAGAACAATAATTTATCATAAATAATATTCTTGACGAAACGATCACAAACGCATTTTTTTTAAGGTGTGATTATTATTGGAATGCTCCATTAGGTAAGCGCGTGTTCGCCATCGGTTTACGCTCATGCCCACTGGGTTAGGAGCAGTGACAGTGAGTTTTAAGGAAGAGTATGTGTGTATGTATTTGACATTGTGTAAATGTTTGGTTATTGCGTAATTGCTTTGTGAAGATAAGTTTTTAGGATGAGTTAGTATTTATATATGTTTGATGGTATGGGTATCAGTTTATTTGATGCGTGGCATGTTCATGTAGGATTAGAAGTGAGTTTGTGAGAGAATGTGGGTAGAAACTCACAAGACACTTGTGGAATTCTAAGAGTATTTGTTTTAAAAGAAAACTGGAAAAACCACTCTTTATTATGTATGTTTTGGTTGTCTTGGTGATGTTATAGTTCTTACAAAATTTGTGCAGTTTGCTTACAGTTGTTCTTGTAATAGCACGTCTTTTTATTATGTCCTCACCTCCTCCAGTATTTGAAATATATGTGTAAGTATATTTGTTATTTACATATATTTATTCGTTTATATACGTAATGTAAGTACGTATGTATATCAGTAATTACTAGTACCGCATTCGTGTATTCTGACACTTCCCTATGGTTGACTGGGAGATTCTCTCCTTTTAGCATTAAGTCCGCTATGTACATATATTTGTACTGATGAATAAATAAATAAATAAAATCATGCAGGTATACATAATGAAATCGAAACAACTTCACAGTTATCGTTATTTCAGGTCTATTATGTCTAGTTCTGTCCACAATAATCATTTTGGTTATGGTTTTGTCGATTTCGAGTCTGAAGGAAAGTCTTATAGTGCATATAGATAGCTCATATTAATTTCGTTATGACTTTGTGTTTATCTTGGGAGAGGTCTATGTTTAGCAGCAAATATTGCAAGGTCGGCATTAAGATGATGATGATGATGAAATCATTCATTCAATGATCGTAACTGGAAATAAAAGCAGTTTTGTAAATTGCGGCCATTTAATACAGTTCATAAGATACGGACAAGCGAGAAGTGTGCAGTTATCGGTGCGTTCCGCTCGATTGGCCCCGAGACGCATGGCTGTGTCGACTGGAGCGCCCTCTGCAATCGAGAACACTTTATAATTCGAATTTGCTTGCATATTAGGCTAAATTACAATAGATCGTGTTACAAGAATGGTGCACTGCACAATAAAATAACAAATACAGTTTCGTATCTATTATGATTACTTACTTATACTCAGGTTATTATATTGTAGCCTAAGATCCTGCCGTTTAGTTACAGATACATATAATATTTTTTAATAAACCTTGATTTCAATGCAGCATACAATTGATCACTCCTTCCTTTCCTGTGGGTGTCGTAAGAAGCTACTAAGGGAACTTAAGCACAGACTTAAGAGTTGAGGGTTGATCAGCAGCGTCCCTCTCAAAACATCACTGAAGCCTAACTGCAGTTTCCAACCTATATTACAAACGTAGCAGTTATTAGCAATCCCCCCCCCCCCCCCCATTTATAGAGGATTTATGGAGAAAGTCTATGCTCAGCAGTGTATAGATAACAGCCGATATGATGATGATGATTAAGTCAATAGATTAGAAATTCATCTCTTTTTGAATTCGCATTAAAATAAATACTATTAAATTATATTATGTAGTGTGTTGTGTGTTAGAATAATAGAAAATACCATACAGTTATACCAATTCTATGATCTTTAAACCAGTATACCCTGTATCTATGAGGAAATAGGCAACGAATATCTTGGGGCACAACCTAAAACATCCAGGCCTGAATTAATTGAGAAAACCTAGCTTTTTTAAATAGCCCGACCGGGAATATAGTCCGGGCCCTTTACACAATTCAACGTGTCGACCATTGTAAATAATGCCAACAAATTCCTAGTGTTAAAGAAATAGAACTATGAAAATCTTTGTCAAAGGATGGCTGTAAGGGATTTCTTTATGTGATAAGTCCGCCATTATACCTATATTAAATCTTTGAATGTATCCAATGTAAAATGCAGCGACTATTAATTTCATAGATAAGTTACAAGTAAAATACCTTAATTTAGAACGCAGAATCGTGTCTCTGTAAAAGATTTTGAAAATTTGATTATTTCGCAAAAAAAAAAAATCACCACTAGCTTAAATTGTAAAGATATGGAATTGTAAAGATTCGGAGTCAGGATGAGAGTAAACCTTTTCGATTACAAATAGACTTATCCAATTTTATTCAAAATTGGCGATGTTATTGAATAACATACGGTCGTCACAATTTTATTTACACCATGTTTATAAAATATCAAATTCATATGGCCGTGTGGTCCCGGCATGGAATAGGCCATCTCTTCCTTTCCCGTAGGCGTCGTGAGAGACGACTAAGGGATGGCCAGTGATGGACAGCAGCGTCCCTCTTAAAAGATCTCTAAAGCCTAACTACGGTTGCCAATTCGCCTGCCAAGCGTGGCATCTACTGGTAAAACTTTCTAAGGGAGAAGTTTATGTTTAACAATGGACAATAAAAAGCTGATATGATGATGATGATTTTCATAAAATAAAAATAGAAATGAATCTTCTTTTTTCTAAAATGGCTTAATTAATTCTATACAACGATTCTATGGGTCAAGAGCCCACTCGTCCGTAGCTACAAAAATCAGTACGTCATTTTGTATATAGCTTCATAAGTTCTGAATTAAATGTTATAATATTATTATATTTATACCTATATATTGTACCGTTAAATGGCATCTCTATGTCGACATTAAGTAGGTATTTAAAAATCCCAACCCTACTTATGAGGAATTCATGAAAAATTCCGGTTAAAAAGTACCTACCTTTCATTTAATGACTGTGGACCCTTTTCATAAAATTGGCTTTTATGTTTAGTACAAAACCGCGAAAATTGGTTTTGGGGCATGGCCCGTGTAACAAGGACCTATTGCCAAGTGATGCCGCCTATTTTGTCCGTAATTTATATATGGCTGTGGTTTATTCTCGTATCAATCATTTTGCTAGCGACGAACAAGGAAAAGCAAGGGAAAATTTTCTTTTTATTGCTTCGTTGAAGAACATCGTACTCGCAGGTGGATTTAATAATATTTTCAAGTAACTCCAAAAAAGGAGGTCCTCAAATTCTCCTGTTTTATTTTTGTGAGTAGCTCGGATTTCAATTACGAGTATAAACAAATTGACCTACGTCTAAATATATATTTATGATATATAACAATAAAATTGCTTACCGTCGCAGTACCATTTATTCTGGTATACGTTAGGTACCTACTAAACATCTTTACAAATATTACGGCACTGAACCCTGGCATACACGAGATTGCCCTCATTAATTTTGTATATAAATATATTTTTATAGGTAAGTACTAAACACCTATAATCACAGAAGATTTAAGCTATTTGAACATTATTATATAAAAAGAATAAGACGCAAAAAGTAATAAACAAATCAATGACGATTAAATTAAATTAAATATTTACATTTTGTAAAAATATTATTTTTAGACACATAACATATGTATGTAGGTACCTAGTTTATTATTTACAATGAATATCAGACTCCATTCATATTTTGTCTTATGATAATTACAATATTTATTTTTTACATTGAAATTTGGAACAGTTTTAAGTGTTACTACGATTTATTATATATACGAATCTAAGATATGAATATAGAATTGTAAATTTTAATTTTTATATTTAAAAATAAAAAATAAAATATCAACGAATAGCTATAAGATACTATAGACTATATCTTAATACCAAATTACAAGTCATAATCGCAAGTTCTCGAGGACAACTCTCATAAAATTCATATTAAAAAATAATATTTGGAGAATTTTTTAAAACGAGCCCCTCTCGAATGTGGTGGTTTGGTTTAATAAAAATTTAGGCTCGTTTAAACAACGCAATTCATATTCATGAATAGCAATTCTTCACTCGGAGAAAGAATAAATTACGCGGTCTCCGCAAGAGATATACTTTGGTGAAATTTTCGTTTGCAACTCACGTATCTACCTATTATGAGGGAATCGCTGCAAATAAGGCACTTACTACAAAAGGACCGAAGGATGTGTGTGTTTAAGTAAGTAGAGTTGAATATGAATATATCAAAATTATGACCTTAATAAATTTGACAGAGTGTACTGAATGAAGATAGGTATGTTTTCCTTACGAGGTTTTTTTTTATATTTATTGTCCGCTGAGCGAAATATTACAGTCTTACACATTACCATCATAATACAATATTTTTGTATTGAAGTTTACTAGGAATAATTGGTCAATGTCAAATTTTGAGTGTTTTAAATGAGAGAACCGGAGTTTTAAAAGGGTCGCTTACGAGTCTGAAACAAAATAAAAATCTTCTATTTCAATCTAAA